GGGGTCGGACGCTAATTCCCTATTCTCTATTGGCCTGTATGTGTAGATGTCCGTGTCGTCAAGACTATCAGTGAGCACTGGGATAGAGGCCGTCACATCCCAAAGCTTGCCATTGATATCGGATATTTCAGCCAGCCACTTTCCCTCCGGTACCACCTGCCTGGGTGAGGTTTTCAACATGATACGGCGGCGCCCCGTCGGCGCAGAGAGCTGACTGTTGATAAATGTGCGAGAGGTTTGTTGATGGGTTGGAGTTGGTAATAATGACAAGGAGGCGTGCTGGCTATGGAAAGTCTGTCCTTTGTCATCCCCGGTCGGTAGTGATGAAAAGAGATCTGTGTCAGAGTATGGTGAAGATGCTTCTGTCAGTTGATGAGACCATGGAGCCAGAGCATCTTCAGGATCCAGGAGATGGTTGATACCATTCCCTCCGCGTCGATGGAATGGTTGATGGGAGAGGTCGGGGGTATTTGCAGTTCTGCCGTAGAGCTCGGCAGGACCGAAGTCGAACCCGAAATTGCTCAAATCTGTTGCTGTATATGCCTGGGGAAATGCGACACCAGGGTCAGGCACTTGATTCATTGCAAGCTGGATCATGTCTCCAGAGGATTCTCCTGCATTGGTTTCTGACACAGTCTTGGTATTAGCTCGAGCCACGATATTAGGGTGACCTGGCATACTAAGTTCGTCCTGGGCTAGCCCGGACTCTTCGTATGTTCTCTTACGCTTCGGTGGTCTGGACAAGTCTTCGGGAGTGACGTTCGGATGTTGGTTCTTTCGATACCTTAACGATGGGCTGGACTTGCATTCGGCCTTGAGTCGTATGCATCTTTCGCATGGCTCGTCTCCACTGCGCTTGCAGCTCAACTTCTGTGCATGACACCGATTACAAGCCCGGCGTATAGGGCTCTCCGTCATGACCATTCCTCCTCCCGAGCCCCTCGGCGGATAAGGGCCTCAAGAGGCATGAAGCAGGTGGCCGAGTCTGACGTGGATAGCTAGCAGAAAGTCAAAAAGCCGAAAACGCTTGTTACTTTCAAGAGATGCCCCTGGATCGCCGAGGTTGCACGATTTGCGCGTGGGAATGGATATGGCCCATGGTGGATAGGTCTAAATGGGAAATGGACAATGGGCCATCGTCCCTTCTGGTGACGCAGAGACACGCGGAATGGATACCCGGCTGGCATGGCTCGAGGCCTTGTGTATCAGAGCACACATGTTGCCGATGTACCTAGGATGGTCCCAACTTGTGAGGAGCCCATGACTCCTGGCTGGCTATGCAGTACCTAGTCAACCTCACCTGCGCGCGGTTCTCGTACCCCTGCTGTCGATAAAGCAAGTAGCTAGCCAATCATTGTCCGAAAGAAGGGCTGGGTGACACTAATTCCCAGATATGTGGTAAGGCCTGACGTGCAAGTCGGTAGTGCAGGTCACTCTCAGTACAGATATGGGAAAGAGATTCCGTCTTAGGACGAAGGCAGAGTCTCTCGTCCCAATCAGGGTCGATGTCTAGCTTGACATGCATTTTAAGTCTAGGGGGTGGGACCCGGACGGCGTCAATCCCATTCAGTCCGTATAGTTCTCTCCCAAATGGAGAGTGGTTCCTCTAAGAGAACATTAGGGGCCACGTCCGCGATTCTCACTCGCCGATGGTCCAGTAAATCATGACGTTCAGTGCTATACTAGGTAGATCCTGTGGAGTGAAACCAAATATGCGGATCCCTCGATGGGCTGTACGACTCAGTATGTCACAAGGCTAGGCCCTCGTTCTCTATCGCTCGATTAGAGAAAGGCTCGCAACAGCAGCATGGCAGTGTTCGAGAGCGGGTGTTCGCATGCGCGGTGCTCGCACGCATCTGGACACCACCACCACGCCGGACAGAGAGTGGTGGCGGGTGCTAGCTGGTTCAGCAGACATCGACAAAGTAGTTTCTAGCTGAGCCTGTCTTGGACTTCCACATGATCTGAAGATTGGGAAAAGGTGGTCTGGACCAATTGGAGTCGAGATTTGATGTATAATGGCCTTGTGGAAACCTGGCCGCGAGGGGTTTCTGCATAACACTAAGCTCAACACGAAAAAACAGTGCGTATAGGTAGGCAATTTTCGCCGCTAGCGCTCTCCTCGCGCCGGCCCGCATGTTCCATACAGCAAGGAGCTGTATGCGAACTGTGGAATGCCTGATTGATGAGCCGGCCTAGAGATTTATGATGACCACTCCTGGGTGAGACATGGCGAATGAGCTATCAGAGTTGCAAGTATGAATTGAAGAGCAAAATGGGCTCTAGTCGGCAAAGTCGCTGAGAGAGCAAAGGTGAGGCGTCCACCCCCACCGAACGCCGAACTGGCGGGACCGACCAGAAGGCGTGGCATTCCAATGTGGAAGGCCGATTCGGAGTTGGAATCGTAGAAGGTTCTCTATTCTTGACTAATTTTCATAGTCGAGTTGATAGTCTGTGTTCATGGATGGCATCGTCACGTTGGGAAGCCTGACTCAGGCGAGAGAGAAGAAGGACCTTGTGAGCGAGAGACTGTTACATTGTAACTCGAAGCCCCGGGCTTTTGCAGTAATGTGCTGTCTAACAACTGCTGTGGCTAATACCAACTCGTTGCACGTTATCCACCAACATCCTTCTACCTGGAGCGTGCTGGTCACCTTATCTTACATCCCTTGTCCCTGAAAAGGCGCGATTCTGTGCAGCGCAAGGCCCGTACGCACCAGCCGTCTGACAGGCCGGCCAGCGGGCAACGAGGGGGAGATCCCGAGTCCATGGCAATACCCCTGCAAATGCTAGTTTTAGCAACAAGCCAGCCCATCCGAACAGGTCCGGCAGGATGCATCAGATCAATGAAGGTGCGCATGGGGCGGGCGGGCCAAGAGTGGCCCCTGGTCATCTTCCTGCAGTATCGTCGGGAGCCTGCTCCATCTGAATGGAGCAACATTCTCAGCTGGAACTCCGATCACTGCTGGCGATGTTGGTGCGCTAGCGTTCGTCCTTACCGGGGGGTTGTGCGCCTGATGTACTATGCAGGACAGCTTGGTCGGTCTGATGTGATCATAGGCAGGATTGCCTGCCTCGAAGTTACTCTAGATAGATGTCGTGTACGCAATCCTGTACCGTACTGGGTTCGTCGTGCGTCCAAACCCTGACCAGCTATGTTCAGCCTTCGCAGTGCGGCTGCACACTCTGATCGTCAGACGGCTGCTGGTGGTCCGAAGACTTCCGGGCCTGTGACAAGCAAGTAGGCTATCGCGGATGTATCGAAAATGAACATTGTAAGACAAGTAGGCCTCAGAAATGACAGCTTTCGAGCCCCATCATCGATTGGAGCGATATTGGAAGCCCATTGACGTCTTTCCACAACGGCGCTTTTGCCATGCGTATATCAATGGCTATATTAGTGGCGGGTCGTTCCTGGGCCGTACGAATCTAAGGCTCAGTGCAGGGACTGTAATTGTTCTTTGCGGGTGCAGGTCAAGGGATCCTGGGTAGGGGAACAGCCACGGTGGACGGGCCACTTCAATTGAGGTAGCCTGTTGAGCACACTTGAGCCACAATATGTTGTAGGGTGCTTACACACAAAGTTAGTTGTAGCAGTGCTTTGCTTGACCAGCTGAGGGGAAATCACAATACAAGCAGAGCTGTCGCGCCTGGCGTTCTCTCGTCACACCACCAGCCGCCGTCTGTGTTTTGAGGTTCGTATTCAAGGGCTGAACATCTCTCTCCCTGCGATTGATCTCGATCCGGCCTGGTAGGATCAGAGACACATCATCTCCATCTGTCTCGGTGTCGGGACGGCGCAGTGAGATCCCTGGTGCCTCGCGCGTCGAATAAGCTTAGATCTCCCAGCTCCCTGGCACCGATGAATTGTCCCATTGGCGACCTCTTCTGGACCGGACCTGCGGATCGAACGGGGGTCTTAGCAGCAGCGTGCGTGCGTGTCATCAACACCGTGGATCCGATGAGATGAGGTCGTAGGAGCGGTGGTGACACCACGTGGCCCATGTTGTATCCTGAATATCTTGTGCAACCGCACTCATGATAGTGCCTTCTTGAGCCCTGCATCGTTAGCAACATCACATCGACGTAGCTCCGTCTTTAGGCGATTTGCCAACGCCAACTCATGCAAAGGCGATCCCGCGGGAGCCCATGTCATGCCAGGTACGCGGCCGTCGATGGTCAACGTTAAGAGCTGCTGTTGGATCCGGCGCTGACCAGCCCCGGCGGGCGGCGGCGTGTGGCGACTTTTGCCCACTAGGCTGCCATTCCTCAGGGGTTATAGAAGCCTGCTGATCTCCAGCTGTTGATCCTTCTCAATGTCTTGCATGGAGACATGCACGACACGATTGTATAACACGACACAGATCATGAGCGTTTGACAGGTGGCCCGCTCGAGTCCTGCCACTAGGTAAACAACGTACTGAAAGCTTGTCAGACAGGAGCTCGGTGTACTCATGGCTCCGAAGAACTCTAAGCATCTTCTAAATGTAACGCTCCGAAATAAATCACCTGCGGGGTGCTGTTTTGAGTAAACTTAGACAGCCACCTGCACCAGATATGACAACGTAGCACGATCAACGATGCCGCTACCATCCGGTAACCTCGACGCACAGATCAGAGTCACTGTGTTGCAGATTCATGGGAATGAATCACTTCAATCGGCTCAACATGCTGTACAATGCACTATACCTCTAGGCTACACACAGCGGGGAACGAGAAGCCGCAATCCGATAACCTGGATGGAAAAGGAAAACGGCAACGGGTGTTAAGGTTAGTTGCAGTATTCGCGTATCGGCCGATGATGTTGGTAGCCGCACAGAGTCCTGGTTTATGAGTAAAGATGTTTCAATTTAGTTGACGTGTACTTCGTGTCATTGCCCCTAATATTAACGCCGCGTTTTACAAGATTTGCGACAATCTCGTATGTCTCTGGCCCCTAACCAGGCACTTCAACTTATGTATGTACAATGCAATAAAACTCCTGTATCATGGAAGACCATTTAATCATCAATAACATCTCCGGTCTGGAATAGCTCTAGGAAAATCCGTTCTCGTACCACGCCAAGGCCCTGCAATGTCTGCCTCACTTCGAGCATGAAGCTTTCTGGTCCACAAATAAAGTACTCAGTCTTGTTGTTGTGCGTGAACAAATCCTTGTCGTGCTCCAAATTCAGGAGGTCGAACCGCGCATCCCGGTCCTCGCGTAGGAAGACATGCGTGGACACCTGGTCCTTGTTACCCTCTTGTATGCGCTGGACAGCTTCGCCGAAGGGCAAGCTCTCCTTGGAGCGTGAAGTGTGCAGCCAGGAAACAGGCCGGCGGACCGAGATCGAGGATTGTGTGAGAGAGTCGAGCATCGACAACAGTGGCGTTGCGCCGACCCCGGCAGAGATGAAAACAGCGGGCACGCCCTCCTTCGTGGGGTCGGCTGGATCAATGAGGAACTCGCCTTGGGGGTGTGTGAGCTCGACCTCGTCGCCGACATTAAATTTGTCATGTAGCATGTTGGAAATCAGACCATCCACGTCAACAGCATCGTCATGCTCTCTCTTGACGCTGATGCGATAGTAGGCTCCCTCCTTTTCTGGTGCCTCGCTCAGACTATACTGCCGACTTTGCAGATGGCCCAGTTCTGGGACAAACACCTGTACACTGATATACTGCCCTGGCAAGAACTTCGGCAACGGTTGCCCGTCCTTAGGCGTCAAGTAGAAGCTGGTGATGCGGTCGGCTTCCCGCTCCTTTCTTAAGATCTTGAACTTTCTGAAACCCGTCCAATTCTCATGAGCACGATAAAGCTCAGCTTCCCTTCCAATAAAGACACTGGCGAGAATGTTATAGGCATTCGTCCATGCGTCCACAATAGCCGGGGTAGCGGCATCCCCAAGCACAATGCCAATAGCCTCCATCAGATACTTGCCAACAATGTCATACTGTGCTGGCTGGATAGTAAGAGACACATGCTTTTGCGCAATGCGTTCGACCGCATGCTGAAGTTTTGGTAGATCGTCGATATAGGTTGCGTAGGCAAGCACGGACTGGGCTAGTGCCCGTGGCTGTCTGCCATTGGCTTGGCTGGAGCTGCTGAAGATATTCCTGAGTTCTGGGTTGGCATCTATCATGTTCTTGTAGAACAAAGTCGTGATAGTGACTCCATGCTCCTTGAGGACTGGGGCAGTGGCCTTGATGATGGCGATTTGCTCTGGGGAAAGGGGTGCTGATTGAGGCAAGACGGGTGCTGAGGGCTTGGGCTGCAACATGGGAGCTTGTGAAACTTGAGCCGCGGCCATGCTGATGATGTTTCTTCTGAAGATGGTCTTTGTGGTCAGAGTCGAAGAAAGTAGTCTGGGAGCCTTTACTCGTAGGTATACTGTCATGTGAGGAGTGATGTACGTCTTCTTCCAACACCGCGTCGTAGTAGGCAGACGAGTCGCATTTTATCACCGTGACCCATCGTCTCCATATCGTCGCGAATATGTACCGCTTTCGTGGCCGGCCAGGTTCTTTCAAGAGGCCAAGCGTATCAGTTGATTTTGACAAAACACCAACGTCGTACGACGAAGAAAATGCTCCATAGAAGTCAACTCTTGCATCTCCGGGGCTCCGCGCACTTGGGGACCGGCAGTGGTGGTCAGTCAACGGCCGCTCTGGCGTTCGAGCCGGCCGGAGACATCAATCTCCCGTAAGGGTCCAAATGGGAGTCATTGATCGGTAAAGGATATCAGCCCATTCGCCAGTCCCGAGTTGTTCTCGCGAAGGTTGACATCTCCGCGGTGGGCTAGTTGTAGTGCAAACCGTTAGTGACTGAGCACGCCTCACAGTGAATTTCTTAACTTGCATGAGTCGTACCGCAGCAACTTTGACACGGACTTCGTTCCATTGGGATCATTTGCATGAAGGTAGAACTTGAATGAAAGTGTCTACGCATCTTCTCTGTTGTCTTAAAATGCAATTCCTTCGCGATGGGTGCTGCATCTGGCGCAGTACATATCTGGATCCTCATTTTCTCTTGCTCGGGGGAGATCGGGAACGAAACAGAGGCGATGTGTAAGTCATTGCCTGTGAGCGCTAAGCCCAGTTACTATTACAAATTTTGGTCTGACCCAGCATACCTAGACTGTTAGAGTAGTATGCGACGTAAGGAAGTGCATGGGCACATTGCTCTGGAATTGGCCCCTGCTACTCACAAAGCGCGCCCTTGTGGTAGATGTCAATTGGCGAATCGACACCGCAATTCCCATGATAACCGCCTGGATAAAACTGGATCTTGACCTACTTTTCAAACGCGGAGCTCCGTGTTGCACGCATGGTATCACCTGGATTTGCAATCAGTTATGTGTAATCTTACCGCCTCAGGCGCAGAGGTTGGAAATATCACCCTTCTCCGCGGCGACATCAAGTCCCAGGTGCCCGATCATCCCGCATGCTGGGAAGCTCTGAAGCTCGCCCAGGAAAGTCTCCCGCCGTCCATCTTCAATCACAGCTTTCGTGTCTTTCTATATACGCAAGCTCTCGTGGATTCCCCCGTGCCCGCTGTCGATGCGATAGGTGTTAGTTCCATTCTGTCGGTGTCAGTGCCCTCGCATGTCCTGTTTGCTGCCTGCATCCTTCATGACATCGGCACCGCGAAAGAACATGACAGCGCTCCGAACCGGTTCGAAGTTGTCGGTGCAGATGTAGCAGCAGACATCTTACGCTCTCACGGTACTGATGAGCAAGCTATTCGCGAAGCATGGCTTGCCATTGCTCTGCATGACAGCCCTCATATCGCTGAGCGAGTGGGCGGATTGGTACGGGCTGTACGATTGGGCGTCAGGGCCGACTTTGGCTCCCACCCACCACCGCCTGTCAGGTCTGCCGATGTAATCACTGAACAACTGCCACGGCTCGAGATTGAAAAGGATCTAGGCGACGCAGTAGTCAGACAAATATTAGAGCGACGCGACAAGGCACCAGGCGCCTCATGGCCTGGCGACTTATTCAGAGCAAAAGAGGCGAACCCAGAATGGAATGGCATTAACAAGGGATTCTAGCTGGACGACGAGAGACGATGAAGTCTCGCCATATTCCCGCACTCAAAATATGCAACCAAGTTGGTTACACTATTCTTTTCAGCACATTGGGCCTTCTACTCATTAGGGGTCTGTTACTATGCTGGTCACCTGTATTTCATATCCACGTATATTGAGCCTTAATATGATCGAGCAAATATATCTAATGAGATATCCAACAATTCAATGCGCTGTGTTGAGCTTCAGTGCCCACTAATACCCTGCGCGCTGTCAGTTACAGCTCCCAACTTGTCTTCAGTTGAGATGTTGATCACAGGTTGTCTCAAACCCTCTAAATCGAGATGAACATCAGAGGAACATCGTCCATATTCAACATCCATGAGACTTAGAAACAAATTGCTCGTTTTCGCCATGTCAACCAGGTGCAGCCCAGGTCGCGAGCGACGAACTGGCCGAAATCGGTACCGATCACCAACACCACAGCCAACTCCTCAGAATCACGCGTCACCACTGCTTCAAGAAGTTTCCAAAACATTCCAAACATGATGTATCGCCGTTCCGGGGTTGCTTCATGCATGCGGAAAGTCTCTCGGCATCCTCGTGCAGCTCAGTCACCCCGCAAATGGTGCTCCAGATCAAACCCCATCGCCCTGTTCAACACCTCACCACATCTTCGACGGTACAACACCACAATGTCCAAGTCCTTCGGACTTCAACTCCTCCAGCAAAAGCCCCTCGCCGAGCCAACCGCTTCATTCGCAGGCAAAACCATCATCGTGACCGGCGCCAACTCCGGCCTCGGCCTCGAGGCAGCCACCAAGTTCGTCGCCCTCGGCGCCACACGCGTGATCCTGGGCGTCCGGGACCTCGAGAAAGGAAATGCTGCAAGACGCTCGATAGAAGAGCACACGGGTCGCAGAGATGCCGCCGAAGTCTGGCATCTGGACATGGATTCGTATCCGAGCATCCGGGCGTTCGCGAAGCAGGCGGAGGCGCTGGAGCAGCTTGACGTCGCGGTGCTGAATGCCGGGGTGTACATGGTGGACTACCAGACTTCGCCGCATGGCTGGGAGGAGACGTTGCAAGTCAATGCGGTATCTACCACATTGCTGGCTCTGCTGCTATTGCCGAAGCTGCGGGTCTCTCGCAACGGCGCAGGCGTGCCAGTCTTAGAGGTCGTCACTTCAAGGAGGGCGGAGGCAGTCACCATCCCACCCGAGCAACGACAAGGAAATATCTTAGCCTCTCTCAACAATCCCGACACCTTTCAGTCAAGCCTGCAGTACCGCGCATCGAAGTTTCTGGCTTTGTGCTCTGTAAAGATGATCGCCTCCTCAGTCCAGCCTACCGAAGTGATCGTCCTGGCAGTATGTCCCGGGGCTGCAGCGTCTAGTCTGAGCCGAGGTTGGACAGGTGCCCTTGCCTCCATCGTGAAAAGTCTTCTCAACGCTTTCTTCTTGCGGACCCCCGAGCAAGGGGCGAGATCACTCGTTAGTGGTGTTACTATAGGCGCAGACGCGCATGGCAACTTCTGGTATGACGACCAGCTTCACGAGTAAGTGTCTTAAGACGAGCAACTATCTGTAACTACTTTGAGAGCTGAAATAAGCTTAGGACACTCACTACAGAGGACATGAAATCCTTGGCTATCCAGGTGTGGTCGGAAATAACGAAGGTGCTCGAGGATTGGACATAGCTTCAAAGAGATAAAGATGGCCATGGAGAGCTGTGTTTCTCACTGGGCCAATCTTTCACGGTAAGATTCTCTAATCAAGTCATCTAGCACTTATCTTTTGGTCTATCAATCTGCCGAAAGTCTGACCTTTTTTCCCTGCAACCATTTTGTACTTAATAGCACACTTGCACACTTGAGAATCCACACCAGTAAAATCAAAGCCATTGTAAAAACCAGTATATGTAACCTTGTGGAGAAGATCGGAAACAAACAGAGCTATTCTTTCATTTGATGAGCGGTGATACCGGTTGACGGTGAACCCCTGTCTAAACGATTTCCTTCTAGGCATGAAAGTTCAGAGTGAGGAGTTCGAATGAAAGCCGGCCCCCCATCCCATCAGCCGTGGATGAGGACTCGGACAGGGCACCACATGTCTTGCAGTCGTAGAGACAGCGATGAGTTCAGTGTAATGCCAAGCGATAAACATCAAAGCAACGGTCGAGGAGATCGCGAGCATTGAACATCTCGGAGCGAGGACCGGAGCGGGAAAAATCATGTTTAACGCAAGTCTCAGGAGAAAGCCCGCTTCAACCTACGCCTCAGGGGCAGGTTTGGCATTTGGTGTGGTCTGCACCGGCATATCCTTCTTCTTAGTAAAGTGACGCGGCAGCCTATTCTCGCCCTCCTTGTAGGGGTAGCCAGCCTCTTCGCGAGCCATGTCGTTGACCCACTTCTCATTGCCGTCGATACCGCCCTTGCCGTTCTTCTTGACACCGACTTGGTTCCACTTAGCAGCAAGATAGAACCAGCCAAGTGCATTACCGACGGTCCCAACTTCGTCAGACACTCCAGTGCGAGCCTCGTAGCTCATCTTCTTGTGCAGTTCCTCGTTTGTGAACAACTCCATCAGATGGGCAGCGACAGCCTTCCAGTCACCTGGCTGAACTAAGAAGCCGTTGACATTCTCCTTGACCTGGAGCGGGATTCCGCCAGTGGCAGTAACAATGACGGGACGTCCTGCGTGAAGAGCCTCAGAGACCTTGACCTCGAAACCCTCGCGAGTAGAGAGCTGGAGCACGACATGGGCATTGGCAATGATCGTGTTGAGCAGCTGGTCGTTTGGATCGAGGCGCATGACACTGATATCCTTGCTGAGTTCAGAGTAATGCTGCTCAATCTGGGCCATGGTCTGATCGTAGATCATGCTGGCGTCGGGATCGTCAACTGATCCGTTACCACACCTGCGGCAATCAGTTATATTGTCCTAGAAAATTGTTCAAACAAGTCGGTGACTTACACAATGAGTTGAGGCACATCCTCGATGCCTGCCTTCTTGCATTGGCGGCGGAACTCGGCATAGGAATCAATCACAGTGGGAATACCCTTGGCAGGGTCGAAACGTGCAACCTGAGCGATGTACTTTCGTGCCGGCCAGCTGAGCTCAGTCCTGGAAGAGATTTAGTACGGCAGACGAGATGTAGCAAGTCTAACAGAAACTTACATGCGTTGAGAATGACAGGCAACATTGTAGATGTGACCATAATACCCGGCGTCCCATCTGTTCAGGTGTTTGTTCAAGCCGTCAAGCCTTGATAATGATGTTAGCAGGACTGCTCTAGGGCTTTGACAGAGATATTCTTACCAGTCCGTAGTTGCAGGGAAGTAGGCGACTTTCTCGCGCGGAACTGTATGCGGAACGAAGTAGGGGATGGGATGACTGATGAACATGTCGGCCTGCTGGATGTTACTCCATAGGAAGTCCCAGATGTCGGCTTGAGGCGAGCCAGACTTGGCGACGAGATCGGTGCGGATCTGAATGTGAGAACGGTACAGAACGGGGCGGTCAGGGGTCAATCTCTTGATCAGGGGAATCAAGCCAGGCATTTGCGGATCGTCAATCTAGTCTCCATTAGTACCACGAGTGACAAGACGCCCACGGGCAGCGTGGGGGCGGTCCGCGTCATGTGCCTTGCAATGCAGCCTTGCATAATACAGGCTGCATGAGGTGTGGGTGGAAGTTGGAGTCGCTAAAGGGGAAGGTGGGAGAGGGCTGGAAGAAATTTACTCACAATGACAACGTCGGCACCGCCCTCCTCTGCTGGACGCAGAGGCCCGCCTTCAGAGAACCAATATCGGTTGGCATTGTCTGTGATCCAATCGATGATGGATGCCTTTTCTTCTGCTGAGATACGCTGGTCGGGATGGCTGACTCCCTGAAGAATATTGTGGATATTCTTTGTGATTCGGAAGACACCTGGGCGAGGCTTCGGGACTATTCATAGCTCAGTATTGGAGGGGCATGGGGGTGTTCTAGCAATTGACAACCTACCATACCAAGTCAGGTCTACACCAAGCAGACGAGCGAAGCGGACAAGAGCATGTCGCATGAGAGCGACGCCGCCACCCTGTGGTGTGCTGCTGAAGAAGGCAATCTTGACCTTGTTCTTGCGAAGATTCCTTGCAAAACCTACAGTTGCCTCCCAGGTTGAGCTGCCACAAGTGTCCTTGTGGTTCTGAACGGTAGTGAGGTGGGCACGGAACCCGGCATCCGTCTGGACAATGCCACGGAAGCCAACTTGAAGTAGAGGAACTAGGGATGGGCCAAAGTTCCTGTGTGCTCTCGTTAGACATTGTGCTGGACTAGTGAGGCGAAGACTTACATGATACACTTGCGAGCCATAGAATCAGCCTGTTCATCAACACGCTTGGCATCCCAGAAACTCTTCTCCTTGTGCTCATCATCAGGGCGCATGACAATGGGGACAATGTCCAGCTCCAGCCAGAGACGAGAGCACAAAGTCGGGCTCATATACTTAAGAGTGGTTGGGAGACCAGCGCCGATGAACTTGGCAAAGTTCTCATGCTCATATCTCTGCACCTCGGCAATCACAAAGTCGGCAATGACATCCTCGCCCATTCTCAGGGCATCATCGAGGACAATGTGCTTGACAGAGAAGTCGATCAGGTAGACTGTGTCGTGAATGGCCAGGGCGACAACAGCAGTGTGGTCATCGGAGAACACAGCTGAGATACCAAGGTAAAGAGTCTATAATAGTTTAGAGTCAACACTTGATTGATCATTGCGCACATCGACCGGACAACGCCAGGTAGTATCAGAAATTCCAGACCATCAAAAACAAATCAACTGAAGTCACAAAAATTCACACAAATTATGAAAGGAGACTAGAAAATGAGGAGAGTGGTTTGTAGTAGGAAACAGAGTTAAAAATGTGTGATGCTTGCAGCTCAGAGAATCAATGAGATATGCAAATGCAGGCTCGTGCAACAATTGTAGACTAGACAAGATGATCACTGATGTACAAGAGAATCCAATAATATCACTATGACAATCCTGGAGATAACCACACAATGGCGCACAAAGAAATAAAGTTGATGGTTGAGTACGTACAGTGAGAGCAGCACCGAAATGACCTTCTTTCTCGATAATGGTGCTCATCTGTCTCTGACGGTGCGCCGAAGCGCCCGTGGAGAACTTGCGACCCTCAGTGAACGCCATAACTGCGTGGATGAAGGGGCCGAGTCTTGGATGATGGTGTTGTTCTTGTTGATGGGTCGGCTGCGCCTGTTGGTGGGGACGAGCTGGCTCTGCTGGCGTCGAGGTTCCACTGACGTGCGCTGAGATAGGCGCAAGCTCGTGGTGGGGATCTAGAGGTAGAGGCAGGTGGTGCTGAGCTGCTGAGAAGACTGGCGTGCCAGGTCCAGCTGAGGATGGTGATGATTGACTTATCGCAGCGGCAGCGGCAGCAGCTTTGATAGTCGCAGGAAATGCCTGTTGATTGTCCGTCTTGGTCAGACTGCGGTCGCTGTCACCAGCAGAATCTACAGGTGGCAGCTGCTGAGGCAGGGTCTGGTGTGGGGTGGTGCGGGGTGAAATGGAAGGGGAACGAGGTGGGCGAGTGGAGTTGGAGGGGTGCAGGTGCTGTGTCGTCGACGATGGTAGATCGCCTTCGTGAAGCTGCGGGTGATAAGAAGTATGAGTAGTAGGACGAGATTTGGAGGTGGCTGTCGACGATGATGACGACGATGTATTGTTTGTTGTATGTGGTGGTGTTTGAAGGGAGGATGTGACAAAGACGTCGTCGGGAGAAAAAGGACGAGAAGATGATGAGCTGGAGTGGAAAGGAGCTTGAGAAGGGAAAGAACGAGGAGTAGGAGTAGGAGAAGGAGAAGGGACGAGGTGTTGCGGCTCAGAGCTATTTGAGGCGAACGAAGAAGAAGGAGCAGCAGCTGTTGAGGCGGGTAGCTCCTGCCTCTGCTTGTGCTGTGTGGTCTGTATTGGTACTTGTGTCTGCTCCTGTCTCAAGGTCTGGTCGAGGCGGTGACGGTGACGGTGACGGTGACGTTCTTGCTCTTGCTCCTCAGGTACTTTCTCTTCTGGGCTGATGATGGTATTACGGTTGTTCCTTCCCAGAGCTACCACAGGCTGCTGCGTATCGGTAGGCTCGTTCAAGCTACTTTGACCTGGACCTGGACCTGGACCCGGACCCGAACCCAGACGCAGACCCTGGCCCTGGCCCTGGCCCTGACCTTGACCTTGACCTTCTTGAGGAAGGGGCTCTCCTGTTGAGCTTGGGGGCTCCTGCAGCCGGTGCAGCTCTTCTTGCAGGTGCTGCTGCTCCTGCTCTTGCCCTTGGTCTTGCTCTCGCGTCTGCGCGGGCGTGGGTATAGGTACAGGTACAGGCACTGGTGTGGGCATACCTAGAGGTGCAGCTGCGGGTGCAGGTGCAGGTGCAGGAGTGGGTGTGGGTGTCTCTGCAGGTGCCACGGCAGCTACGTCGTCTAAGTCTACAAGCAAAGGCACACCTTGCTCTTGTCCTGGTTGCGCCTGGCCACCTTGGGCACTGCTGCCGTGGGGCTGATCCGGAACGGCGTGCAGGTGAGCAGGTGCAACTTCGTGATCTTGGTGGGATACGGGTACAATGGACCCAGGTCGCTCTAGTATGGTTCGACAGCGGCGTCTCTAGCGTCTGGGGTACCGACCGATGATGTACAGGGGGCGAACGAAGGTGGAGGTGGACAGATGTTAGTTGCCCACAAGCGGGTTTCTACCTAGAAAGCTCCACTGTCATGTCAGTCGAGGTGCAGCAAGTACAGTGCTGTACCATGAGTATTTGCAGGTTGCGAAACGAAAGAGGTAAATTCCCCATTCAAACACAATAACCCGATCTAGGGGAAGAAGGAAACGGGAGCTGAAGGAATGGGGGTCCACAAGAGATTCCAGGATTCTGGAATACCCTGGGACAATCTGGTGATATTAATTGGAGAGAGTGACGTGTTTCATTCTCAGCCATGCTATGCGCCATATCGGAGAGAAGATATCGCAGAACACGCAAAAAGGGCGGTTAATCCGACATAGCACACCACACGGAGGGAATAGCCAGGCACGACAATCCAGTCGTTACAGTAGGCAGTCCATCTAAGACTACCTACCTTGGCCTTCCTCGAGCCACTGTACCATCCATTCTAGCCCGCCTGTTTGCTCGCGGGGCGAGAATCTTACAATAAAAGTAGGCATGGTACAATTATGCTGGAGGGGCAAGCCTGAGAGACGCTGTGGCCAGCACACATTTGTGGTAGAATCTCGAAGTTGCTGCTCGCCACTGCTGTGGGATGTCAACGCAGAGTCTCTCGACCCACCCACACACCTCCAGCAACCCAGGAACAGGGTCCCAACTTGTAGAACCCTGCAACATCGATGAGATGTAGGTTTGCACGTAGGTAACTCGAGAGCGGGCAAGCAAGGCAAGCAAGCAAGCAAGCCATGGAGATTCCCGCAAGCCCATTAGAAAGCAGTCAAAATTGGTCAAAGTGAGAAGTCATCAATCAAAACAGGGACCGCATTAGCGTCGCAGTATCTCTCATGCAAGTTGAGCGGTGTCAATCGGGTGGGAGTAAATTTGTTTCTAGGCTGCATGCCGCCTACTGGTGATGATTGCTTGACCCTCGACGAAAATAGGAGAGTGCAGTCCGGGTGCTGCTCAGACACTAGCGACCGCCGCGTCAACGCCGCCGGCATGACCACATGGCCCATGCAAGAGTCGGTGAGGCAGCGGTCAGAAAGCGTGGGGTAAATCGGAGAGTGGCAGATGATGCTAGGAGAAGCAAAAAATTCAACTGCAATGGATGGACGGACATGCGTGTGTCCAGGGCTCGTTGTGATTTGCCAAACTAATGCGCGTGCAGTGGCAGACAGAGCCACGGGGTACAACCGCGCAGAACAGAGTGCAACAAGCCATTGACAGATAGTAAGATTTGATAGATGCTTGCGCAGAGTGGACGACATCGAAAGTGAGATGGAGTGATAGAGAAACATGGATACTCACAGCTCGTCTGCTGTGTTATGCTAAACCTGTAAGGCCAGGCTTGCAAGATGGCGAGCAGCAGGCTGTCTCGCCTGTCGTAGGTGGTGATCGTAACGGCTTATTGGAACCTAGCTTTGGAAGCTGTACAATTCCCGAAATGAGAAGAAGAAATCGAAAGTTTCACACTGAGCTGCCCCTTTGGTGGAAATCGAAGATCGAGTAATGTAACAGGTTGGTATTAGACCTGTACAGTACCCGCAGATGATCTGCGATGATTGTGACAGTTCGGAGGGCCCGGCAGGCGGTTTGGTAAAGGGCTTTTCGGTGATTGCTCGTTCAAATTCTGCTCCTTCCTCTGACTGTTCTCTTTACCCAGGCCGATTCGCAGTCCCTAGCTTGATTGATGTCGATAGTGTTCCTTCTGTTGTCAGGGGCGGCTCTTTGGTCGTCGAACAATGCCTTTTCTCCTTCTGTTCCAAAGGTGAGAATATAAGCCAGCCTGGTTAGGATCAAGCCTAAGACGCAGGAGATGAGGTTAACCGTTTTAGATAGAGTGGACCTCTTGAATTGTAATGGAAGGACGCAAGAGACGGATCAGAAGGACGGTAGTCTCTAAACGACTATCTAATGGCCTGGTAATTGCGTTGCAGCGACTCCAGCACGGTCTCGCAGTCCTCGATATCAAACTGTACACTAACTGCAGGAGGTATGCAGCATATGCAGGTTGGGATGCCAGCAATACCGGGGATGCAACGACCCACCGCGTGAGATGCAGTAGCGGAGGAGGAGAGCTTCTAGTGTCGTGTCCAGACGGATTACGGTGAGGACGAGAGGTGCTTCAGAGAGCTCGAGATGGCCTAGCGAGCACTGTGGAGCGGGACGCCAAAGCAAACAAGGAGCTGCTGGATTGGGGTGGCCTTGTCTCTGGCGGGACGCGGGACCCGTAGACGATGGTGTGGAGGTTGGATCGAATGCGAATGGGGTGGGAAGTAGATGCGCTGTCGTGCTGCCGCACCCCGCCGGTGATCGGGCTGGTCTCGGTCGGGGATTTAGGGCCAGAACAGACAGGGGAGGAATCGGATACGGTGGGGACGCAGGCAGGGAGGCTAGCTCGGCTGGCTGCAAGTGAGCAATGCAATTCGTAACGACAACTGAACCGCCTTGACTTGACTTGCAGACGCAAATGCGATGCGATGCTCGGGCGCCGAAGAACGGTGAGACGAAGGCGAAGGAATTGAAGGGAAGCTGTACTCTTTTCCCACTCTTGGAGCTTGGCTTCAGGTACAGATAGATGAGAAAGCTTATTGCTTCAGTGAATTACGAGAAGTCCGGAAGACGGCCTAGTGTGTGGATGTTAGACGTCATGCCTTTATTAAAAGGCTCCGCCGAGTATCATACGATTGTTCCCTCCACCGCCCCAAGACTCAACCTTGGCCAGGACACCAATGCGGAGAGGCTTTCACTATGCGGTAGTCGCTGGCCTTCGGTCATCGCACTGGCGGCGCTCGGAAGGCACCCCTCAAAGCAACCAAGCGAGACTTTTGTTGGGGTCATTGACGTCTCGCTCAAGCTGTCATGGATGCCTATTGGGACGGACCTCCTCCCTGCAGAAAACCGTTGTTTCCATGTTGCTCGCAAAATGCCGATCCATCAAGTGATGTCTCATGCCTTGGGTGGCTGAATTGCAGAAGACCTGCCCACCATGATAGCCAACAGCTCGGGTAATGCTGTCCACTGAACACATGTCCCATATCCGGTACGGCTAACTTGCCGGCGCTTCGGGCATCAAGATCTCCATCTCGATCCTTCTCAGGCCTCCCACATGTTCTAAGAGCAACCATGGCGTGTTTTGACCAAGGTCAGGAGGTCATGTGAGCCCCCAACATCCTCGCGGCACTCGACATTCGTGGCGGTGACATCCTGTGCCTCCAGTTGAGAAACAATTGTGGCGCATTCGCTGCTTCAACGGCTGCACCGCGAACATATCGCGAACAGCTCTAGACTTCTTGGTGCAAGGATAAAGGCGCTGATGCCTATCTCAGTATTCCCCCCGGATCTGAGCGTATTCTGAATCAAGCAGGTCGGTTGATCTCGAGAAACTACCAAACTCAAACCCCCACGTTCCAGCTGCATCGTCTGCAGTCGCAATCGTTGATCCCGCGTCTAGACAGAAGCGCGTGAGCTGAAAAAAAAGACGCCGGAGCCCTAAGTGTGAGTGATTTTCTCAACGCTCAGGTGTAGTACAGTACAGGTTCAACGACCCTCCATAGAAGTAGAGTGATGTTTCGTGGGTTGCTTTCTGGAGCATCATAGCCTTTCTACGGTACGTAGGTAGCTAACAGCCTTAGACGGCAAGGTCAGACGCCACTAAATAGGGCTGGATGACCCCGCTGAGGTAGCTACGATCGTAGTGGGGTTTTAGAGCTGGCTTCGGTCTCTACCAGAAGGTTAAGAGACCCCACTAGCGTGCTTTAGGTACTAGGCAGGGATTGCCTAGGATCGTCGCAGCCATTGTACAGTACGCTGTTGGGGTTAAGGGCATAGGTAAGGCGAAGGGGTGCCATGGAAGGTAAGCATGACAGTAAATGGGGTCCAATGTTTAGCATTGCTGGAGGAAAAGAGCACCTGGGCATGCTGTGAGATCAAAACCGAGAGGTATCTATCTACCTAAGCTGTGCTGTGGGCAAATGATCTAAGGTAGTCTAGGTGAGGTCAATGGATTGCCCAGATTAAGGCCAGGAGAACCTCCGTGTCCCGACTTCTTAGATGACATAATGTCAGGCATGTACGAAACCTGGAATGGAAGGCACCTAACTTACCTAAGCCAACCTGCACCAACGTTTCACTGGATTTGGACCAATATATATGAGGGGCAGAAACCTGCCATAGAACTCCTCGCAGTCATCTTCACGTCCACCATTGACCTGATCACGGACTGCATTCTTCACTTGAATTTTCAGTGCCACTTCATATTCCAAACGCCTGGCTTCGGGTCGTCAGGATATTCGAATCTGTTCGCTCCAGCAGGCAATTTTTCTTGTCTGAGGCTGCTCTCAAGATCATGGAGGGCATATTTCCATCCGTCAATTCGATTAGCTTGTTTGTGAAGCACCGCTATCAATCGGATTAATTGACCTGCTTGAACTGCTGTAAATGCAGATTTCCAAGACAATGTCAAGGTCGTTTTGTAGGTAGATAGCAGGTTGATCAGCAATCAGTGCATATGTGAACTTTCTCGCAACTTATCTCCGCCAACCAGATCTGGTACGCATTACCCAAGTAGGTAGGTGCCTCTTGCTTGCAGCGCGCCCCGAATCCTGAAATCCTTTGAAAAGCAACGGACCTGATTATGATGATAATCGAGTTACATTGTGTCAGCATTCGACGGTGGAAATCCTTCCACGCCTTTTTTTCGACGCAGTTTTGACTCCAGCCTGGCCATTTGCTCTGGGTAGATAGTAATGCCTTACTTTCTCATGTTGGCTGGTGGCCTCCCGCCTTGAGCCTCCATAAAAGAGCTTTTCATCCTTCGTTGTTACTGGCGTTGGCGGCGATGGCACATCATCGATCAAGCGCGACGGTCGTCGCTATCGCACTACTTTGGGCGGCCGTTGCGATCGCAGTCTCGCCGACGACGACCGCACCCGTCTCGTCGTACACGCCAAGCGTAGATGCAGCCCGCCAAAATGCTTTCCAATTATTCAATGCCGTCCACAGCGCTATGCGACAATGGGGCTCCTCCGTCAATCACAATGGCCTGTCTTTTTTCCTAGCTACTGTGCCAGCAGGCCAGGTTTTTTATCACGGCAACCACATAGCCGTGCGCCCCGAAGGCTTCGAGTGGCTCGCCTTCGAGATTGAGCATGCTATTCAGTTCGCCCGGTCATGGGACCCGCAGTACTCCCCGCGATCTTTCTCGCCTCATCTGGGTTTCAATGATTCCAATCAGTCAGATGAAAGCGGGCAAGAACTGGCATCCGCCGCAACATCAATTGAGGAAACACTTCGGAGTTTACATGGGCGGACTCATGATTTCTCAGAAGCTGCTGCCCGGCATGAGCGTGCCCGGATAGACACAACAGTCGGCCAAAAGCCTTTCGGCACCACAAATACGGACAACAATGAGGATGATGAGGAGAATCCCATCACGATGGATGACAGTTGGACGCCGCCCAGTTTCCCAAATGTACCGTTGCGTGGATACCTGCACACATATCGAGCCGCAAGGCCACTTAACCTACTCTATGTGGATGGAATGGCTTCTGCTCAATGTCAACTCGGGACTCTTGATTCACAGGACCTTATTTTACTCGGTCACGATGAAAGCCCCCACGACGATGCCTATACCGAATTCCAGCGGGTACAAGACATGTGCAGGTTGCTAGACAGTTGGGCATTGGATGACCGCCGAATCGATGGATTCGTTAGAATGGAGACCGCTTTCGAAATTATCTACTGTCACTTTGAGGATGAGGAAGCACTAGAGCTTGTCAGTTTCTCGGGTAGCCCGTTTCCGAACCAGACCTCGTTGTCAATGATGGACTTCGAGTGGATTCGAGCCGCCGCTCAAAGATACCACGGTATGCCCGCGGGGAGGATTGACATCGACTTCAGCAGCATGGTCACTGCCTATGCATACCCGATCAATCTGACCAACCCGGACCAGTCGAGGCCTGATTTGCCGCGGGTGATCAATACTACCAAAGAAGAAAGGCTTGGCATTCGCTCCCGCATTCAGGAAGTTAGTCAGGAAAGATATCACCGTACACCTGAGTCGGTGAACTGGCAAGGTGTAGTCGACAGGATTGTCTCACGGTTTGCTGGTCGACTGTGGCATTTCATCGATACGGACGTCTCTGCGGAAACCTTGTTCTCGGACATCGGCATTCTGGTGAATCTGTTCATGGACTTTCGTGATGCCCAACCCACCAGCACCTCTGCTCTGAATCGTTGCGTCCAGCACTATCTCGACCCAGCTGTGCTTCGTCCAGGTAGGTTCACACCTGAGGATATTGCAATTCACGCGGCGATTGAGACTGTGTCCGAGAGGATATGCACGACTCTATTCGACGTCCACCATATACTCTCCAAAAGCGAGCTATCTGAACAATCTACGTCACGTCAAGATGTCGTCGGTGAGGTTCAAGGCATAATACGCGCATTGGTGAAGAAGCTGGACTGGCCAACTTGGAAGGAGTGCGGCCGCTGCCAAAATGCCGACGAAATTTGTTTCGTTCCAATGTTTCCCTTCGGCAACAACGAGGACCACTTCCACCCACGCTGCAGGAATTCATCACTACTCAGCGCGAGTGACCTTATGGAATATTTCCACGATTTCGTGCCCTGGTCCTGACTTTGGATTCGGTGGAGAAGGCTGGGTCTGGTGTCTGGCATTGAGGAATTTCATCAGCGATTATCTTTCCAAGGGGACCGTCCACCGATTGGCTGTGTAAATTTTATTCACCAAAGCACTTGTGATTAGTGAACATATTCAAAATAGTATAAATCGAGACGTACCCCTCTCAGGGGCAAGATGATTGTCTACCAGCGAATGCTAGACGAATCACCTCGAGAAACACCAGTTTTCTTAGACACTTAACAAGCTTAGTAGAGTTCTAGATAGCAGGACCGCAGGAAAGCCGAGGCTCCAGAGACACTACAATTCTCTCAACTTTTGGACGCGCGCGTCGCTTCAACTCGAAGAGCGTTCGTTACACAAAGGTCATCGTGCATTGCCAATTTGGAATGGTTGTAGCCGAGGGATCGCAATCCCTGAAGACACCAGGCAGAATTGGTCTTCGATTGTCAAGCGCATATCCTGGACTGGACGGACAAGACGGGGCCAACGCGCGCTTAGTAGTGGCTGTGCCACACCTTGCTCCCACGCTACTTAAGGTTTTGAATGGCTAATACACCTCCTGCATAGCTGTGCCGCAATGGCGATACACGAGCCAGGCGCCCGATCCCACGGGAGCGGATGACAAGGAAGGGGGCAGAGGATGGAGTGCCCTGTACTGTATGTCTCCCCGGACAACTCTGAAAGTCCGGGCAGCCAGGCAATGTTTGATTTTCAATCATCCTCTCAACATCCTTCGTTAATGTCTGAATGAACACCGTGATTCATCTTGCTCTTGCCGGTCCGAGAGCTTGCCGACCTTGATCCTATGATCGGTCGCAGACTTCAAGTAGCACAATTATCATGGACTCTTCAACCGAGGGTTATTATCAAACCGTCAGGAACTCTCAGCCAGGATTGGAGCCTGTCATACACCACGCCCAGCCTGACAAGCAAGTTTACACGCCAACAACTGATCCGCGCTCTTTTAAAGAGTCGGTCTCACCACACTCGGCACCTTCTCAAGACACATCAAACCCGCAGTATGGCGCCTATCAGCCTGGTGGATTCGATGATGGGAAAATTGTAGCCCAGGGACCTGCCGCGAGGAGAAGACAGCAGTGGTGGACGATTGGTGCCGCCATCTTAATCGCCATCATCGCAGGTATAATAGGTAGCATTGTCGGCTGGAAGGTCACCGAAAACAAAAACAATTCCTCATCAGCTGCGAATAATGGGACTAGCGACGCAGGCAGCAACGCAGACTCGATAGCGGGCGCGAGCCGCATGATCCAGCCCAACTCCGCGCTCGCGGTAACAGGTTGGCGATTCGGCACGGACTTTGCCATTCGCCTCTTCTACCAGGGACCCGATGATCTCATACGCTACTCGGCGTACGACACGGTGTTTGCCAACTGGAGCGCTCCCCGTGTGCTCAGCGTCAAAGCTTCAAGCAACACCTCTCTCTCAACATCCATCATTTGGTGGGAGCCAGATGTCGTTGATCTCAATCCCTACCCCCAGATGCAGCTCTTCTTCCGCGGCACCTCTGGCAAGATCGAAGGGCAAAACTGGCGTGACGGCGGACCGGCAACTGGGTTCAGCGACAGTATCGTCAATGCAAGCTTTACCCCAGCTGCTGACTCGAGGCTCGCAACATATTGGCCCTCAACCCTCTACCAAGACGACGACGGGTCGGTGCAGGAGATATTCTTCAACCTCACCAATGGTGGATATCAGACGGCAACCTCACTCTCTGTATCGGGAACCGCGGCTGGCCCATTGATCGCTTTACCCCTCACGCCTTCGCACAACGGCAGGGAGCTTCGTGTTCTCTATCGCCGCACGGATGGCAAGATGTACGAGTTCAATCGCAACTCTGGCGGGACTACGGCATCCAGCAGCGGCGCGATGCCCTTCTCCGTGCCTGATGAGGCTGGCGTCGGGGCGTTCGCCACCGCAAACAGCGATGACACTCTCACGACGTATCTGCTATGGCAGGACACTTCAAACAACGGGACCGTGCAGATCGTGTGGCAGGATGGCAGCTCAGATGGGTGGAAGGGCCCGGTGACGGATTCTGTATTCGATGGCGCCGACAATCCGACACAATTGGCCTGTGTGACGGCGGGTAGCTCAGGCGGAGCCGCAGTTGTGCCGCTGCAGGCGAAGGATGACATGAACAGGTGTTACTTTCAGGTAGGAGGGGCGTTGAAGGAGGTGTGGTACAACGGCAGTAAATGGGTTGATATGGGTTTTGTAAAGATGCCGTGATAGAGTAGCGGCTGAGATTAACGATTCTTTGTACGAATATGCGCGATATCCTCTAATGATACCTACTTAACGATGCGTCGCTTCCATCTAATATATGGCTCTTAGATGCCTTGTAAGGTTATCCTGATAGTCCCAGGTAACACTGTGTAAACTCATTTTAGCTGCTTAGCCGTTCAACAAAAGTCATGATCAACAGAATCAGATGTATTTAATCGATTGTTGTAATCTTTCTCAGTGGCTTCAATTCTCTTCCGACGAATAGCGTACAAGCAGCTCAGGGCAAAAACTATCAGATCCTCCCAACTATCCTCTCCTCTCCTCTCCACACATGTTCAACTTATGCTTTGCTGAAGCGCTCAGCGACGGTCTTCCAGTTGATGACATTCCAGATGGCATCAAAGTACTCTGCCTTGCGGTTCTGGTACTGCAGGTAGTAGGCGTGCTCCCAGGCGTCAATGCCGAGCAGCGGGACGAGCGATCCAGTGACGGGATCCTGGTTGGCGCGCGTCACCAGGCCCAGCGTGCCGCTCTCCTTGTCCTTGACCAGCCATGCCCAGCCGCTGCCCTGAATCCCAGCCAGAGCCGCATTTGTCTGCTTCCTGAGCGTGTCAAAGGAACCGAAATCAGTGTCGATGGCGTTCTGTTCGAGAGAAGTTAGCCACACCTCTGGTGTTTATTGGGCGCTGCTTGCACGGCCGTCTCGACTGCTACGCACCTTGAGCTCGCCGTCAGGTTCGCCGCCACCGTTCTGGCTGGCGGGAGCGAGGTTCTCCCAGAAGAGACTGTGGTTGACGTGACCGCCTCCGTGGAAGTTCAGGAGGGGCGCGACCCCGGCGGCTTTGGTCAGATCGCCCTTGGACTCGGCCTCTGCAATGCTGTCGAGGGCGCTGTTGAGGCCGTTGACGTAGGTCTGGTGGTGCTTGCTGTGGTGAAGCTCCATGATCTTGCCGGAGATGTACGGTTCGAGTGCGCCATAGTCGTCTAAGGATAGCATGTGGTTAGCCAACTCGCACATTTGCACTACGGGTGTACGGAGCCGATCCTCTGGCTCTCTATAACTATACGGAACCATGATCCGGACGAGGGAGGAAACATACACGGAAGATCCGGCAGAGTAGCCTTTCCGCGGACAAACTGGGTGCTTGCGGCCACAGCAGCCGGCTTCAGAGCACGAGCGCGGAGGGCACTCCGCAGAGCGGGAGAAGTTCGTAGGAGAGTCGACGACATTTTGGACGAGGCGTGTACTGCTCTCAGCTTGACGATTAGTTTGAGGCCAATTGATTGGAATAGGAGAGAAGTTGAAGAATTGATTAGCGGGCTGTCTCACCTTGCTCGGGTATTTGAGGTCGATCGGGCGGTCGGAAGAGCGGGATTTCAATGGAACTGAAGATGCGGGTTGATGTCAATCGAATGAATCAATTCGGATTGCCGAGAAGCGATCGAGCTTCCCCGAAGCTTCTATCACTCTGTCGTCATAAAGCCGAGCCCCACATCAGCTTGCTTACAACTCTAACACCATTGACTGCACTAACAATTTTGGTTATCAGCCACTGTTTTGACTACTTAATTCAGTGGCTCGTGCCTGTTTCAAGCCACACATACACCTACGCATCCCCTCCTTCGGCTTTTCCATCACGCGTCGAGCTCGGCGGAACATTCAAAAGCAACGACACAAAGAGTCAGACTCCCCTCCGCCGATCTCGACTATTTGATGGCACTGTGATTGATACAATCAAACTCGAACTTCAAACGAGTATTGGCTGGGCCAGGGTGCTGCACCGCGCCTCCGTTTCACCATGTCTTACTACGATATAGACGCGATCTTGACCGACGCAGAGGTAATTGACCCCGCGATACAACCATTACACATTGTTTGCAGCCGTCCCTTCCCAACGACTTTCCCGTAATAGAATGGCAAAGAGAGAGAGAGTTAGCTAACGCAAGCTGCTTATATTCAGAAAGTTCCATGCGAGTTCCAGCTTGAAGTGCCCGATTTGGGCTATCTCGACAACAGCCCCTCCCACGCCCTCAAGTCTGGCACCAAGCTGTCCCTCCCACTATGGCTCGCCGAGATGCTTGCCCTTGCTAACACCTCGGGCGACGACGAGGAGGCCAAATCTTTTGTCAACCTCAACCTGCCCCCTGCCCTCTCCAACGAGGTTGTCCAGGCCCTAAGGGCTGATCCCCGCGCCGTCCCCCTCCGCGACCAGAGCGCGCACTTCTATGGCTTTGCGACACGCATGCTCGACCTATTTGAGGAGAGAGATCTCGCCAAGGAGCTGAGAAAGACGTTTGTGACGCGGGCTTCTGATGTTGCGCTGCATGCGCGCAAGGCTGGCGGGGCAGGAGCAAAAGAAGACGGTAGCAACCTAGGCGTTAGTGGAGGCGAGGAGTTCCTCAGGGGCTTGGATGAGTGGGAGAGAAGACTGTTCAGGAAGGCCCACGATGGGTCAAAGTCGGGCAAGGAATGGATGGACAGCGTCAAGAAACATTGAACGCCGCCAGCCGCATACCCTCACAATGACTGCATCCGCTTCATGCTCCCAGTTCCCGATCACGCCTCCATGAAAGGACAGCGTCTACATTTGCCTTTTTTTGGCATCAGTCACGGGAATCAGGAATAACAGACGCCAGGAATGGGGCGCTTTTATGTTCTCAAGTGGCCAAGAACTTGCAAGCCTAGTTGTGTCGATCGTCAGGGGGCGCCAGCTGCTCACCTTGGCGTCTGTACAAAGAAAGGTCAGTCCAAGCTATCTCGTCTTCACCAGCGGCAAGGAAGCAGTGGTAGATGGGATTCGTCTTGCCAGTCTGAAAGCTCAAAGCTCTCCGAGATCATGCTATGACTTTAGTCAACTTGCAGTGGCTTTCGTCTCCATACCCCATGCCAATTGTCGTGGAGAAGGCCCGACTGTTACTTTTCTAGCGGCTACAGTCAAAATCAATAGCCTAAGCCGGATGCGCTGAGAAAGCACAGTCCTTTGTGTGACCTGCTCCTTTTTGAGCAGTGTCTCATTCAGACAATGACTGGGCAATTTCACGTCAACAGTGGCCCGGCTGTGGTAGTCTGCTAGTCCCAGGATTCTTGGCAATCAAACTTGCAGACAGCCTTGCACTGGAAATGAACCACGGCGCTCCTTGGGATGGACGATTGGACCGGGACTTAGGAGTCGGTCAGATTCCTGCCCAAGATCACGCCCACCACTGGACAAGGGGCCAGGATCAAAGGCTTGTTGTAGGCAAGGAAGACATGGGAATGGCGGCGGGTAATGAGAAGTGGTGAAGTTGTGGATGGAATTTGCCGATGCGACATGCCCACAGACCTGCCTCACTACCTGGACAACTAACTAACTGACGGTTACATACCCGCATTCCAACTCGGGAGCCACTCCTTTTGTCATAGCACAATACTTTGTGCTGCCCCGTGTTCTCTAACCATTACCTACAATACTGCAATCCCGGGTTTTGCTCCTTATCATCAATGATCAATGGCTCTGCCGTCATGATCTACAGCAGTGGATACAGCTTAATCTCTGGGGAGGTGAGGCTCATAAGGACTCCTGCAGGGAGTGACAGATAGACTATACGTTACGGTGCTGGGAATAATAAGGAAAAGGTTGTGTCAAGTAATAAGCTTGAATCCGAATGCCTCACCTGTCACAATCTACCAATTTCGCGCCCGCCGATCCATTTGGGGGCATCTTACCCCTGTAATACTGTAATTTGCACGATAGCTTTTGACCCTGGCTTCTTACCAGGACTCCTGGAGTCCTGGACAGTAAGCAAGAATGTCTACATCATCGTGTGCCTGCATTTCGCAATGGCTACCCAGCAATGCCTACTTGTGCCAACGAGGTAAGGCGTGCAAGAACTAGCCGTCGCAGCATAAGTCAGTTAGGTAACCCAAATGAGGCCGGTGTCATACTTCCGCTTCACGCGCGCTCTGCTTGTGTACATACATGACATTGCCAGAGGGAGAGAAAGGGCCAGAATTGGTTCTTTTCTGGAGAATGCCGCCACTGGCGGTCCAAATGCCGGACGCCCACGCCGTTTCATGCAGGGGCAATGCGGAGAAGTCTGAAAAGCCACACCCGTCAGCATGGGTCCTGGCTTCTCTAGTGTAGACTCTAGGGGAAGTTGGGAACAACACACTACTCGTAAAGAGGGCGTTGAGGATGTGGAGGAGGAGTGCTGGGCCTATCATTACTCAAGGATGCCGCATAACAAAAAGCCCGAGACACGGTCGCCCTTGGCAGCACCCTTTTTTTCTTCAAACCTGAGGACCCTCATTAGGACAAAAGGCTAAGGGCTCACCAAAACACACCCCTGTCACTTGTCCATTGCGATCATCGCCGCCCTGCACGAGGGAGATCTACGATCCCGTTTGCCTATCCGGGGGACGCCCAGGCCCTGCGACGGGGGCGTGTGGAGGAGGATTGGCGTTCTTCATTACCGCATCCATCGCTGTCTGACAGACATGCTTTGTACCTGCTGTTTGGAAGTCGTTGATCGGAATCTTATCCTCCAAGGCACACCATCCCGGCATGTCTGAATATCGCTCCACGCGAAACTTCACCGCATCTCCTCCCCGGCCGTTGAGCCTACGAGCTCTGCGAGCCCACCAGAGAGGCCTGCCTCTCCCTGGCTGATCTGTATTTTGGTGAAGAAATAGACCCACGCCCGCAATCATCCCACGGCCTGGCCAGAAAGGGGTACTGATGTCATCTTCATCTTGCCATGCCATGCCATGCCAGACCAAGCCATGCCATGAGAGGTCGTGAACATCACATCAAGCAACACCGGGATCCGCTTCCCTGGGAATGGCTCGTATATATCATGGCCTCCCTTCCTTCCTGTCAGCCGGTTTGTCTTTCCTCACCTCTCATCGCATCAACAGCATCTCACAGTCGCTCTTTATAGTCCAACTTAGTCATTCCTTAATTCCCTGCTCTTTCGGCTTCACTCCTCGAGATTACTCTTACGTCAAATAATCTTCTCTACAAGATCAACAACCTACCAACACAGTCAAAATGAAGTTCACCGGTGTCATTGCTGCTGCCCTCACCCTGGGCTCTGCCTTCGCGGCCCCCGTCGTCCAGAAGAAGGACAGCCCTCTCGAGACCATCACCAGCCTCATCGCCGGCCTCAAGACCGACGTTGCTTCCGAGCTGGCTTCCATCCGTAAGGATTTCCCTGGAGCTTCGTCCCATGAACAAAGCTAACCTGATAACCCAGCCATTGTCGGTGATGTCGAGGCTGCTGCCATCCCCGTTGTTCAGGCTGCTCTTGCCGGTGTCCTGAGCAAGGTTCAGGGTGTCGCTGCCGATGTCACTCCCCTCGTCTTCGGCCTTGCTGTCCCCACTGTCGAGGCTGAGGCCCAGAGCGTCCTGGCTGTTGTCGGTGACCTCAAGGAGACCGTCACCGGTATCCAGACCACCGTCAAGGGATTCGTTGGTGTGGCTACTTCCGGTATGTGATGATGAGTCTTGATCATGAGAAACATACTAACCGCTATATACAGATGTCGTCAGCACCCTGAAGCCTGAGATCCAGTCCGTCTTGACTGCCGTCGGCACCATCGCCAGCCCCGTCACCTCTCTTGCCTTCAGCGTCATCAACACCCTGCCCGCCGGCAGCCTGGTCACCTCTGAGCTGACCACCCTCGTCGGTGACCTCCAGGGCGTCGTCAACGGCCTCTTGGCCCCCGTTGACAGCATCCTGTCCATCCTGTAAATGCCTCGTGGGCTTGACCCCGGTATTTCGGTGACGACATCTTTGGATTCCTGAACATAGCGTTGGTGGTGTAAGGATGGGGGAAGTCTATCTTCTGTGAAGCATGAGAGAGTTAGAGGCTTGTAGTGTTTTGATTCTTGAGAGCAACGTAATGTATAACGAAAAGAGGTGTTCCGTCGAACGCGACCCGTGTATTTTAAGATGCCACAGCGACTGCGCGATGATGCATGCCGGTTCTACTTGCGGTGTTGGGGAGTACCGAATTTCAGCCAAGTGATTGTCTAGAAGTATCAAGCGAATTGCATCTGGCCTCTTATCTTTTGAAAACGTTCAATGGATGTGACTGCTTTCGTGAAATTTACGTTCGTATTTCCCGAAGTACAATTCTCGGCCCTTCTGTCAAGCTTGCGGTCAATAGAAATGTTCATTACAGTACGTATTCAAATTTTTTCTCATGAACAAGGACAATGGTTTCATAATGCCAAGTTGACGAGCCTTTTCGTTCATGTCTGTCATCAGTAAGAACTACTTTGCATGCAGGACTAACTGGAAGTGTTCCCCATGTAAGACGGACCCCCATTGGAACCATCCATCTTTCGGAAGCCCTAATTCGTTCTCGGTTTCTTGACCCCACCCCTCGCACAACTATAGGTTGCGTAATAGTTGCCCAACTTCCTTGAGCTTTACTTTTTTAACCAGCTGCTCAGCATCAGATACTCGACTCGCTACCTGTTCAAGCTGAACAACAGCTTATGAACGATGTAGCCGCTTAACGGAGCAGCTACTCGCAGAGTGCCCTGTGTTTCTCTATCAGGCGAAAGTATTGGCTGCCGCAACCGAAACTAGCTTCTTAACTTCACGTCCAGCTCAAAAAGTAGGGTTGCATATTCACACCCTGTCGACAGCTACCCAAACAATAGGGATGGCAACTTCTACCACTGTCAGTCACAGTGAAGCGGACAAGTACGGTCATCCCATCTACAATCACGTCCCTTTAAACTCTGAGCGGAAAGAAATACGTCTGCTCGAAGTCTTCCCTGGTCATAAAGAATCCGAGATCGATACGAGACTAAGCAGTGTTTCTCTTAACGAAAGCCTTGATTTCAGCGTTCTGTCATATGCTTGGGACTCTCAGGGCGATCCGAAACCCATATTTATCCAAGGTCATCAGTTCCCAATATCTAATCACCTCTACCAGTGCCTCTTGAATCTACGACTCGAGTCAGAGCATCTTATCATATGGATCGACGCAATCTGTATCAATCAAACCTCACTCGACGAGAGGAATACTCAGGTTCCGCTTATGAGAGATATCTATCAGTCAGCTAAGCAAGCGTATGTGTGGCTTGGTGAATCGACTCCGGGCCTCGAGCTCGCCTTTGCTTCTATGCGAGAGCTTCTTCTCCGTGAACCCCAATTCAAGTTGGAATCATTCGAGCAGCTTATGGAGGGCTCGGAGACAAACTCACCAGAAACATTTGTCAACGGGATTACCGAGCTATTAAATCTGGGCTGGTTCCGTCGCACATGGATCATCCAAGAAGTTGCCCTTCCACGACGAGATCCAATCTTCATATGCGGAGCTCACAGAATGCAATGGACGGAATTCGTTCGCTGGAAGAGAACAACATCAGACTACAATGACAATATCATCGATCACACTCAGCTTGCTACTGGCCAACCGGCCTGGCGGCAACTACACGCCATGATAGACTTCCGCCCCTTCGGTGCCCTCATGTCCATGCGGGATATTGTTCAGAACTCAAAACGTGCCGAAGATGGGATGGAGCTCTCATCACTGCTCTTCTTCAGTCAGGAATCTCTTGCGACAAATCAGAGAGACAAGATCTATGGAGTTATGGGTCTGGCAAACGAGGAGGCGAGGGCGAGTATCACAGTCGACTACAGCAAAAGCGTTGAAGATCTTTATGAAGAGGCTACGAGATATCTCATATTTAGAGAAGGGAAACTCAATCATATCGCACTGCCAACTCGAAACCTCATCTTACAACAATGTCGCAACAGTTCCTATACGGTTAACGACGAAAGTGGAGTACCATCGTGGATCCGCAACTTCACATTCAAAACTCCACCGAAGAACAGCGAGGCTCCTCTCATCCCAGACTGGTGTGGACGGAGCAGAGTCTACGATGCGGCTTTACGATCAGGCACGATGGAGATTGGCGAACGCCATTCACGAGAGCTTCGCATCGTGGGTATGAAGTTGGACATCGTGGAGGAGTGCGCGATCGCCTGGTTCCAAATGCCGGAGAGAATCCAGATATTCAAGAACTGGAAAGGCATATTGCCTGTGTACTTCCGCGCTGGTCGGGCCGACCTTGCCTTACCACATAACACCGATAATAGATCTACAGAAACAGAGAAGCGTACGGCAACGGATAATCCATGGGATCTCGTATATGGCCCAAAAGGAAAACCACTCAAGACCATCAAAGAAGCAATATGGAGGACTGTGATGGCCGACAAAAAGCTGGATGGATTCACACGGCCGCCCGACTGGTACGGGTCTTTTCTTCAAGGCTACGTAGAAGCATACACCGGCGTTCAGAGCACAAACATCGTAGTCGATGGCGCACCAGCCAACATGGAAGCATCGGAGGCAGTTGAGGAGTTTCACAAGTTCCAGCATAGACTAGGCCAGATCATGGTTGGTCGCTCTGCATTTCGCACTCGAGATGGTTGGATCGGCTTGGGGCCGGACAGCACCACAGAAGGCGACGTCATCGCCATCCTATCTGGTGGAGATGCACCTTTTGTGCTACGAGCATGTCATGGTCACTATCATGTCGTCGGCAACTGTTATGTTGAGGGCGTTATGTATGGGGAAGTAGCGAGGGCAAGCATGGATGGCAACTCAGCCGCCGAAGAAACGCCGTCTATACCGGGAGAAATGTTCACAATACGTTGAAGCGAATGAGGATTAAACGGTGCTCTTTAATCCACGCCATACTTTGCACGTGCCAAGAAGCGTGTTCATCGTCAAATCGCTCGAGATAAAGTGGTCTGCTTTCATAGGCAGCCTCGCAGCTCTTTCTCGCAAACAAACCGGAAATCGGGCAAACAGCTTCGAGAACTATCTCACAAATTCTTACCCTCGCCATCACTCTCAACTTTCTGCCATCAATATTCAGACCATCTGGATCTTCCTGCTATCTTGAGGCAAAAAAATCGGTCCCAACTCTACCTAGAGGCCTGAGTTTTCACCTTACCTCATAACTTCATCTTCTTCCGTCCGCTTGACGAAACACCACAATAGCTCCCTCTACTTTGACGTCTTCATCCGTCTCTTCCACTCCATCACCACTTCTCACTGTCTTACCCTTAACCTCAAACAGACTCACCCACAGCAACCAAGGCTTCCGACAATCGTCACGATGTCAGACAACAGCAATAAGAAGGGCGGCAGCACCAAGCTGGCCAGCCTCACTGCTCGCGAGCTGGAGTTGGCTGGACTCGTTTTCCAGTGCTTTGATGGCGCCTTTCCCAAGGTGAGTTCATCCTCACATCCCCGCCGACCGATTGGCCCCTTTCCCATTTTATAGCACTAGCATTCAGGAACTGACCTCCATCTCAGATCAACTACGAGAAGTTGGCCGATATCGCCGGCTTCAAGAATGCGCAGTCTGCCTCCGCCTGCTGGGGCCCGGTGAAAAAGAAGCTGATGGCTCTTGGCCAGGCTGCTGCGAAGGACGCGAGCAACGGCGATCAGGACGGCGCCGACACCGGCGGCCTGACTCCTTCCAAGGCGAAGGCGTCTCCCCGAAAGCGCAAGACCAAGGCTGAGAACGACGAGAACGGCGATGCTTCTTCTCCCGCTACCAAGAAACCTCGTGCTAAGAAAGCTGCTAAAGCTACTAAGGCACCTGTCGACAATCAGGACAACGACGAGGATGACAATGAGGTGGTCAAGGATGAGGAGCAGGGCCCGGATGGCGCTGTCTAAACAAATAAACAACACCTCGTGTCTCGTCGCACAAACTTGACGAGTGATTACCACTTGGACAGTACAAGGAATGGACTGCTCGCTCGATCGGAACCTTTGCTACTCAGAGAGGGACTCTTCCCAGGACGACGATGAAACTGATGCATTCGCGATATGAAGGTGTGGAAGGCACGCATTAAACTCGATCAAAAGCTTTGCTATGAGGCGGTGGAAACGTAGATATATTTATTTACGAATCTTCGCCGCACGGAGTCTTCAAAGTCTATCTAAGGAGACCCCCTCAATTGATGAATCACCACAAATCTCTCGTGTCGTATCTTCGCGTGTCTATGTGAATGAAATGCTATGTAGCTATGTCAGTAAAAGCGAGCCCAAGCTGCAAGCGGAGCTGCCAGTGATAGTGACAGTGATCACGACGAAGGCGCAGCAGCTGAACGGCATCCCCGCGTTGACGCGGCCCCAATCGTAGGGTGATTGGGCAAGAGGGCGCCGTCTTGCGAGAGCTTGCAAAGGGCTGGAGTGTATTGGCAGATTGGGATCGTGGTGTTAGCAGCTTTGGGTGTGAGCTGACGAATCTCCCCGATCTTACGTCGCATTTACCAGAGAGGGAACCCGATGGCCACAATAAGCTTAACATGGCGTCCATAGCACCTTGGCGCCACGAAGCGGTAATAAGACTTTGGCCGCACCCTCGACTGCGATCTCATGATAATTCACGTCTTTCCTCAGACTCAAATTAATTGATCCATTGCTCGCATAAAGTGCCAGCTTATTGATTGTCTCTCAATCCTGCTGTTACTTTGATATCAACGCAAAAAGAAGATCGTCTTGCCTGCCCAAAAGAATTCATTGATCAACATCGACGCAATTTATATCACAGCTGTGTGACACTCGAACTGCCAGAAGAGATGAAACAAGATCCGATCAGTGACAAAATCCACCCATCCACCTCGCCCTCTCACGCCACCCACCGCCAGACTGTTCCCGTCCAAGACGAGATAGAAGCACCTCCGCCTTACACGCCCAGCACCAGCACATCTGTTCCTCAGCGCACGCCCATCTCGCCCGTCAGCGCGCGTAGCTCTCAATCCAGCGATGCAGGGGAGAACGCACCTCTCCAACGTCGTCGCTCCGCAGGTAGCGATGGCTATGCTCGTAACGATGGCATCGCGATGAACGGCATCCCAGAAAGTGGTGATCAGGGATATGCCCCTCCGGCGCCGATGAGCTCCGAGCTAAACAAGGAACCAGATTGGGACAGCCAGCCTGGATGCTGTTTCAGCTCGACTGGAGGCTGCTGCTTTAGCGATCACGGCGGCTGCCTCTTCAGCAGCTATGGCGGCTGTTGTTTTAGTTCTCATGGAGGATGTTGTGTTAGTGATAACGGTGGCTGCTGTTTCTCTGATAATGGTGGTTGCTGTTTTGGCGATAATGGTGGCGCCTGTTTCTCCGATGGAATCGTAAGTCACCAGTTCCCGCCTCTCGAGCGTTAAATATCGTTGCTGACCTAGCCATTCTGAAGAAGCCAGCGCCCAAGTGAGACATTCGCACGAGATACATACCTCGATTATCAACGAGCCATGATCTCACGATACCACAGATTGCAGTAATATGGTTAGTCAAGGGAGCGAGGCGTATAATGCTAAGGAGTTGGGATGTTTTTCACGCGAGATGTATAATAATGGGCATGATAGACAAGGGTAGATACACGGACTGCGGTCGACTGAATTTGAGCTCATTCAGAGATCATCTTGATCAAATGTTCAGCTATCGTGAGCGACCTGACGCAGCGAAATGTTCAAGTATCGTTACACCGACCCATTCTTCATTTCCCGGATTATCAGATCCTATAACTCGTCCTTGTCACTGCCATCTCCTTCCCGGAGGGTCTTCTTTAATCTCTGGGCTTTGATCTGGAAAGTGATATCCCGCTTATCTGACTCATACTCCGGCTCGCTACGCTCAACTACCCAAGCAACAACACCTTTGTCCTCGGGTTCAGGGTTATAGTTCTCGAGATCAAGAAGATCATCTAGAATAAATTGTTAGCATGGCTCATCCAGTACTGATATATCTCAGCTTACCCTTGCAATTGCTTCCTTCCGCCACCCAAAGAGGGAGTGTCTCGTAGATGGCTCCCGCAGCGAAAAGCATCACCTTATTCTCACCATTCTCTTTGATACCGGCCTTGTCTGTAGCACGCGGCTTTGCGGTACCCTTAATTTTCACACCCTGCTCCTTTGGCTTATCATACACAGCAAATAGCCACTTTGTATCTCCCTCGTTGTCGTCCTGCTGCTCCTCAATCCAATCCTTGACAGTCTCCGGGACGTCCTTGTACTCCATCATGATCACATCTCGGTCGACCCCTGTTGCATCAACGCCTTCCCAGCTGCCAGGAAACGGCCGCCCGCCAAAGAAGAACTTGAGTGCTTCAGCCCAAGGTGCGAGGCCAACGGGAGTCGGCTTTTGTAGATCTCTCAACGCATGCTGTGTAGCGTGAAATGTCCTCGTTGCTTCACAGTCGGCCGCGAACCCGGCCGGAGTTGGAGCAAGTGCGAAAGGATTCTTCCAATTGAAAGTCTCTATGACTCGTTTGACAATGACCTGAGGTTGACCACTTGCGACGGCAAGAAACGCACCGAGGGTGAGTGTCAAGAAGCGCATGATGGCGTCTGAACACCTAAGTGCACGTGAAATTGGGCGCTCTGGGAGGTATTGTCCGCATCTTTAAACATGAATGTACGTTCTTATTACGCAACTCTGTCCTCTTTCACTTCTGTCACGTCGTTAGGCTCTTTTGGTACAATCCTATTTATTTGCAGTGGTCGCTTGTGTGGTCGAGATGAAATATAGATTAGCCTGTGGGTGCACGTCTATTTTAGGCAACGGAACCAAGGAGGCGGAACACCAACTCCCTGGGGGGATCAACCAATTTGACACATCTTCGCATCCTCCCTTCCGTCACAAAGACCCAAAGAGATGAAAATGGACCATCTCATAATTATATCGATTCAATGGCCTCATAGATAGATGATATTTTGTAAGGGGAATGCCAATCTGTACTGAACTACTCTTTCTCTCAATCTTCGAGCTTTGCTAGTAGGACATCAACATAGCTATCCTTTGTAAACACAATGTCTTGTTAATATGAAGGTCTCTTCTTTGTAGTTATACATGATAATAGTCCAGGTAAGTGAAGAAATAGTGAGAATAGGGTGTCAGCAGATGGTACTTTGCGAAGTTTGCGCCGCTTGGCATTTTTGCCCCAGTAGCCAACAAGGACTTCAAAGACGAGTTAAACAGCATATCAGTAAGAAATTGATCACCCATAAGCTTCTGAAAAGTGCAGAAGCTTTAAATGACGTCAGAAGTCAGCTTTGTGAATGAGTCGCCTAGATCTTTCCGATCTATGACCTCAAATCGAGATTTTGTGCAGGATGTAGGGGTCGTCCGAATTGATAAAGGCAATGATACCTCCTACTGAGCAATGATATCACCTGATCTACAGGTGGGCACCGCATAGGACCCTGATCTTCACATTGCATTAGAGTACATCTGATCCAAGCTCGTCGTACGTCAGAGTAGCTACATTCTTATCGAGATCTTATCGAATATAGCACTATGTCCATATTTGTACTTGGTTCACTTAGCCTATGGGCACAGCGAATTGAACGAGTATCGACTCATGATTCTTGAACCACATATATTGGCATCTGTGGTCTTTCTCTGCAAAGGATTTTATGTCTAAGGTGATAGGGAATTTCATCAACACACTCCACCTAAACCGAACATGCTCGGCCTTCGATTTTCGGAGCTGTTGATTCTTCGGAAAATAAAGTGCTTTTTTGGTGTTTGATTTCATAGCCAAGAGAATCTCAGTTTTGTGGATTTTGTGAAAATAGGTGCTAGCATCTGGGAAACTGGTGGCGCACCGTGAGCAGTGACCAGGTTTAGTTAGACAAGGGTGAGGCACCTTACTAGACAGAGAAGGTGTGACCATTTCCAAGAGCCAATAGCAATTTTGTATCATTTCAATGGTATGTTATGCGTGGTAGTGTAAGTGATAGTGGCCACGTACATCGGAGTTCGGATCATTCCAAGCTGGTGTGCCATCGGGCTGTCGATACCGATTGTACAAGGACCATTCCCATCTGGATGTCCCAGAACTTATGGCCCAGCAACATATTAAGATATTCACTCTAGGTCTTCGGAGTAAAAATGCACGCAATTTGATTGGCTTTGTCTGTTCCGATTCTGCGGCCGGGGAATAAGCTGTGGCTCCTTGGACGCTATCTGGCGGAGTTGATCTACAACCGGAGAAACTTTCAAGACGAAACCTTTCTTGATGAGTATTCGTCCATCCACTGAAGGCACACTATGAGAAGATATGATGAGGATTAGTTTGGCTTGGCTGATACTTTGAGCCTCTACTCATATCGAGTAGCTCAGAGCCAAACTATCGGAACCTTCCGAGCCGTGACAATGTATATGGCCTGCAAAGGGGCAAAGCTTCAAGTTCAGTCTTTTCCAAAACTTCAAAGTAGCGAGATTGCGGATCAGAGAAACACATTTACCAAAATACCTGTGAAAAGGAAAAGCTTTGCTTTGGATGTCAGTCGACAATCCTCGACATTGTTGAATTCCGAGTATGCCGATAGCCGACAAACAAGCCCGGTCTGTCTGCAAGAGTACGGCGCAGGAGAGTCGAGCAGAGACCAACAATCGACAATCTGGAGTGTATCTCTGAACTGTCATTAGCAGGACGCCGCACAACTTACAAAGGCTATGACAATGCGCGCGTCAGAGCGAGGTAGAATGGCCAATGATACAAGACTTGTTCAAATTGTGCTCGCTTGTGTGGAGTGCGAGGACGCCACACCTGTTGTCCTTTCTTGTTCTGGAAGCTTGAGGGACTACGTACTATGCAGCAATAACGACCCGTGCCGTTAGATTACCCTTGTCCACGGACTGGAAGCATTCTGCTGGATACTTTGTCACTGGGTTGCCCTACTGCGTAAGGTCAGCCTTGGCGAGACGGGGTATGCCCCTCTTTTGATAACGGCCAGTCCCGTCTTGAGCCAGTAGAAATGTCGAGTATCATGCTCGGCAGGGGGATGTTCAGATACTGTAGATACTGTACACGTGTAGATACTGTGCTCTCTTCAACGAGTTTCAGAGATCGAAAGCAGTCCGGTGCCACTCCTGTCGCCGCCTATTGCCAATGTTTGCCAATGTTGCTTGGGATGCTTGAGAGCGCCACAAGGTGGGATTTCCCCAGGCTGGGCACCGGACGAAACGGGACAAGGATTGCTGGGCGCTTGGTCATCATTCAAGTACGATCTTCCTCTTTTGGGCCAGATTGTTGCGGAAACTCTAGACCCAAAGAACGAGGAAGGGGGTGCGTGAACTATATGAATCCATGGTGCACAGTGCAGAGTCCCTCTAGTCCCATTAGCCACTGCTGCTGATACGCAGTAAACAGCCTGTAACAATGATATAGTACCCTTGGCTAGCACGGCCTTTGCTTATGTCTATTCATTTCACTCCCACTTTTCCTGCCACCAGATAAAGCAGGTCCTTGATTGCTATTACTACTATTCGTGTATCGGCACTTTGACACCCCAACGTCTCCTTGTTGAGCAAAATGCCCCGTACGCAATTATTGCCATTGAATACCCGGTTGGCCCACCATCGACGCCGATAGCCGTATATGAAGCCGAGCTGACGTGGATGGCAGCATAAACTCTTGGCGAACATGTGCCAGATGCAGCGCTTTGAATGCTGTGTTGCAGTGGTCAGAAATCTCGATAACGAAGTCGCCTCGTACTGTGTGATTGCAACACAGTGCACCGTGAAACACTCGTACGCCATGAGGGGGCAACTGGGCGCATAGCCTGTCGGATGAGTACACTTTGTCTGACATGATGATGAATGGACTGGGTGATGAAACAGAGCTTGGGATGCTATCATGCCCAGATATCCAAGACATGCCCAGTTTCGCTAGCCCGCAACTGGCTGTCATATCAGGTCTCCTCACCACCAGCCCTGCCCGATTGATACCCGGCTGCTACCTCAATGCAGAAGGTGTGAGGTCCAAGGCGACCCCCGACCATCGAAGCTTTCTTGGCCTTCAGACGCTTCGTACATTTCAGGGTGGTCGGCGCATACGGATACTCAGCCAGTCAGAATAGTCTTGACGACATTCCTGAAGTGCAACATGGCCACCATCGCGATGATCTTATCCTACACCCCAATTGGAAGGCGACGGATCAGCAAGTGGAGTACTGTAAATGGGTTGCGCATTTGATTTCCGCCTCTGCACATCTCAGGACCCTGCAGTCCGGCCAGAGCGGCATGCTGCGCTCCATGGTACGACGGTAACAAGCCCTGGTACTCCACTGGGCCGTGAAACTTTATTAAACCCCTCGATGCTCCTCGTGAGCCGAAAATTGTGGTACCCTCAATCTCTTGTTCATCTAATTGACTCGGATCACAGCCTGTGAACATCATGTCTAAGGTTGAAGAGATCAAGAGCACCGAGGCGCCCCCTAGTCCGCCAGCTGGGGGCGTCTTGGATGAGAAAACGCCTTATCAACAGCATGACCATGACCGCCACAATGACCAGCTTCCCAGCAACGAGACAGTGGAGAAGTAAGTAGTGCTGCTCAGTAAAAATTTTGAGCTGGGACTGACACCAAATCAGTGATTTTAACGTCACAGATCTTGATCTCAAGGAGGCCCAGGAGCTCGCCGGTCGCATGAGTTTGGAAGAGGTTCGAGCTCTTATGAGCAATGTTTTGAAGATCCACGAAGATGACCCCAACTTTCCATTTGCGATCATCCAGAGAATCAAGACATTCCTTGGTATGTAGCATTGTACATTTCCCCTTTCCGTTCTTCGAAGCTTACGGCCTATTAGGTAATGATAGTGTGTTTGAAAATCCGGAGAAGTATGAAGACCTCATCTACGAGATGAAGCTCGAAGCTGCATTGATTACCAACAACAGTCCGTACTCTGAGGTGCGAGCTGTCGTCGACAATCATGATGACCCAAGCGTCCCATGCTCTACAATTCGAGCCTGGATCATTGGACTCGGCTTTTCTATTCTACTTGGCTTTATCAATCAGCTTTTCTCTATTCGGCAGCCCTCTATCACCATTTTGGCCAACGTTGCCCAGTTACTGTCATTCCCTATCGGCAAGGCAATGGAGAAAACTCTACCGGATTGGGGTTTCACCTTGTTCGGCACCCGCCACAGCCTGAACCCTGGCACCTTCTCGAAGAAGGAGCATATGTTGATCACCATTATGGCCAATGTTGCTTACCAGACCCCCTACACAAATAACATCATTTGGTCGCAGTATCTCCCGCAATACTTCAACCAGTCTTACGCTGGCCAGTTTGGCTACCAAATCCTAATCGCTCTGTCCACCAACTTGATCGGTTATGGTTTGGCTGGCTTGACTCGCCGCTTTCTGGTGTATCCGGCATACTGCGTGTGGCCTGCTTCCCTGGTCACCATTGCTTTGAATGCAGCCTTCCACACAGAGACTAATTTGGCGGTTGAGGGTCCATTCCGGTCCTTCTGGAGGGTCTCTCGTCTGAAGTTCTTCCTATTTGGCTTTGCGGCTATGTTCGTGTACTTCTGGTTCCCTAACTACATCTTCCAGGCCCTTAGTCTTTTCTCTTGGATGACTTGGATCGCGCCGAAGAATCAACATCTTACCAACATCACTGGTTTCGCGAATGGCCTTGGTCTCAACCCGTGGCCTACTTTTGATTGGAATATCTTATTGTTCGACAACACTGACCCTCTCATGATCCCATTCTTCTCGACCCTGAACAAGGTCATCGGCGCGTTCTTCTCTTTCTTCACAATTATCGGTCTATACTACACCAACACATATTGGACAGGATACTTGCCCATCAACTCGAACCGTGTCTTTGATAACACAGGCCAACTGTACAATATCTCACGAGCAATTGATAGCAGAGGTATCTTCGACGCTGAGAAGTATGAAGATTACTCGCCAGCCTACCTCGCAGCTGGAAACCTCTCTGTTTACCTCTTCTTCTTCGGTGTATACCCTGCTACTCTGGTATATGCCTACCTCTATCATCGGTATGAGATTGTCACGGGCTTTAAGAACCTCATCAACAGCTTCCGCAAGAAGAAGGATACAGAGATTGGCCAGTATCAAGATGTCCACAATCGCCTTATGGCCAAATACCCAGAGGTTCCCGAGTGGCACTACCTGATTGTTGTGGTTTTGGCCATCGCTTTCGGCATTGGCGGTATCGCTGGTTGGGAGACATACACCACACCTGGTGTCGTGTTTTACGGTATCATTCTTTGCTTGATTTTTGTTGTCCCTGTTGGCATAATCAAGGCTATGACTGGTATCGAGATCACATTAAATGTGTTGGCTGAGTTCATTGGAGGATCTTGGGTGGAGGGTAACGCCCTCGCGATGAACTATTTCAAGTCGTTCGGCTACGTGACTTGTGCCCATGCTGTGTGGTTCGCCAACGACCTGAAGCTGGCCCATTACATCAAGGTTTGTTTGCCTTGTCAGGACTTTAGAGAAGAAAGCTAATATCCCATAAGATTCCGCCCCGTCAGACATTCTGGGCACAAATGATCGCCACGATTGTGTCCACCTTCGTGTGCACTGGCGTGTTGAACTTTCAGATGAATCAAATTGAGGGCGTATGCACACAACACGCGGCAAATCACTTCACCTGCCCCGGCATCAACACCTTCTTTACCGCTGCCGTGCTTTGGGGCACCATCGGCCCGAAGAAAGTCTTCGGTGCTGGTGGCCAGTACACCGCGTTGCTTGTGGGTTTCCCGCTTGGTGCGATCCTCCCTATTGTCTTCTGGGCCCTCCAACGCCGCTACAAGAACGTGCGCTGGCTGCGGCAGATGCATCCCGTTGCTATGCTGTACGGCGCCTTGACGTGGGCCCCGTATAACCTTAGCTACATGATACCCGCCTTGCCGATCGCGTGGTTCTCCTGGGTCTACACGAAGAACCGCTACCTTGGCTTCTGGTCTAAGTACAACTTCGTGCTGTCAGCCGCATTCAGCTCAGGAATCGCAATTGCCGCCATCATCATCTTCTTCTCGCTCCAGTGGGCCGAGATCAGCATCGACTGGTGGGGCAACAATGTTGTCAGCCAGGGCTGTGAAGGTGATGCTTGCACTTTGAAGACTCTCGCCGATGGAGAGTTCTTTGGTCCCGGCCCTGGCCACTTCCACTAAATCCGTACTGATGACGGAGTCCTGATGATATTTGAAACCGAATCGCATACATCAATCATAGGATTGTTCATGCTTGTTAGCAACACTGTTGAAACTCCTGCTTAGGAAAGAAAGCTTAGTCTAGTCGTTCGATCTACCTGACTGACATCAATACACTCACTTCGCATCATTGAGCTGACTATGATAATTTACAACGCGTGATTTTCCAGGATTCGCAATCTCTTGCCAAATTTGAACCTGTTCCCACACCAGCTCCACCAATTGTAGCTTGTATCCTAGACATACCCGATGAGAGCTGAAGGAATTGTCTCTGATAGTTGGTGTATGCGTCAGCATTTATATCTTCTACAGCGAGCAACTACCCACATGATATCAAAATCACCAATCACTTCAGCTATATTGAATTAAACCCGGAATTACTTCAGCTCTAGATGATTCGCGGGTTCCGCAAGGCGGCCGCAGATTCAGCAGCCGCGGAGCAGTAGCGGAGCAAAGCCCACTGGTCAGCCACAAATGCTCCAAAAGAGCACTGGCCATACATCCCGATGGAAGAGCGAATTCAGATGGAGCAGAACACCTGCTCTTCTTTGGGGGCGTGGGGCGGCCGCACGGTCGACTTGAGTAACAGTGCCCGGCGTCTCGGCGGGAGAGTGCGGGAGGTACGGCGTCTGCCGGCGGTTGGCTGATGAGGTCAGCGGCTCATCTCGCAGTGTCATAGTTGGTTGGCATTAGAGTCGGCAAGCGGCCGCTCCTAGGTCCCAGTGTGCCGGTAAAGGGGTGTCTAGCTGTGCATGTTGATGCAGACTCCATATGATGCTCTAGAGATTCATCATGGCTTTATATGAAGTTTATACGTGTCAACTATTATTTAAGCAGAGGATGCAGCCCTATCGGCAGATGCCAACTGCAGTAGCAGACAAGGACTAATGCTTCTGATGCTAGCATGGCAAACACTTCCGTTCATTCTGCGACTGGTTTCGCAAGGGAGATTGTTGCTGTGCAACACTTCTGTGCTAACCCTCAATGTGGTCGAGATGGGCTGCTGCCATGCGATCATTGCTATATGCTTGCAGTCTGTTCGACCTTACTCAACCTTTTGATCTATTTGACTAATGCAAATTTATAGTATTGTAGTAACAATTGTCGAATCGAGCATCGTCGAGACCATGACAAGGACTGCAAATCACCCCTTTTCAATCGAAACTGGCAGCCTTCATGGGTTTTGGAGAAGCGCCTTCCTACGTTTGTTTCCAAGTCCAACGAACCTGGACTTACGGAATCCTTTGGTACATTGAAATACTTGTGGGGCAATACTCCAGCAATTGATGTCATCAAGCTGGGCGCGAATGAAGGAGAGAGTTATGAAGAGGCTTTGAGTATTCTATTTGCAGGTGAGGCATTCCATGATTTTACGGGTGATACTTTAGTCATATCTTGGTGTCTAAGTATATTACAGCGTCTGGAGACATACGAAACCTCGTTATGTCGATCGTTCATCTACCTGATGATTACGAAAGTCGCATCGAAGTGGTGGTTAACGACCTTGACTTCGATGTGGTGGCCCGAAACATTATCTTACTTCTCACTTTTCTGGTGCTCAACGATCCCTCAGAGGCTGCGGAATATACCCTTCATCTCTGGTACTCTGCGATGGTCACAAATCACTGCCTAACCTTTCTCCAAACAAGACTGAAGCCGATGATACAAGAAGTTTGTGATAAAATTGCCAAGAAAGCACGAACGACTCTCCTGGGCAAGACCTGGAGCTTCGGAAGCCGGGGAGCTCTGCGAGTCGTCTTGACTAAAGAGAAATGGGATGCCTTGCTTGGGTTCCTTGTCGTACCAGCTGGCTTATCTCAGGATAAAGCGCAAGAGCTAAGGAAAAAAATTGTTAATGCACCAGAAAGGCGAGACTATGTCGACAGAAGATTGCTCACAAGGCCGCCGAATTGCCGCTTGGGTACGGCAAAATTCCGCAGCGACGGCCTCCTCTTGCCGTTTGGACACCCTAGAGCAGCGCATAGTGTACCAAATCCGTAAGACTGTGATGTCCCATAAGAGAGTTGATCCGAGTTAACATTAAGCAATCAGTACATTCTTCCAAACCGCTGACAAATGGCCAATGATGGACAGTGCCGACCCGACTGATGGCTGGACTCTGAGTACAGTGACCTCCGTCGATGTTGGTCCAACGAGAAACGATTATTATGGCAAATTACATTACTACCTGTTGCACTTGTTCAAAATATTTCACAAACGTCTGCGATCGAAATCATTTCATCTGGAGGCCCTGCAGATCGATGCGCGATTGCTCCCAAATCACTACCCGGAAAAGAAATTTGATCGTATTGATGTACGATTGCTCTTATTTTTTTCGGGGTTGCATGAATAATGCTGATTTTTACTCAATAGGTCTCCAATGTATCTGACACATCCTACGTTGGCCTTCAATCCATCCTCAAGTCGCTTGGACCCATGTTGAAGAGTCCTTTGCAGAACCCCCATGCCACATTAATTACTCTATTTTTGAACGCTGTACCGGAGATGATCCATCGCTCCTGCTCCGGACACGGAGGGAATGGGTGCTACCCTGGGGATGACCTGGAGAAGTACGAGGCGCAATCCGAGGAGTTGGCTCATAAGTTGAATAAAGTCATGAGCTTTATGCCTGATCTGAAGTTCCAGAGCACAACACCACGAGATCCCGACTTTATGAGACTGCTAACGGCACGGGAACTAGTCCAAGATGTGGATTTACATTTTGAAAAGTGAGTACGACACGTCTTCTTTAGTGACACAGACCTCAGCCCCTAGCAGAGCGTAAAAATGATTGAATCATAGCTATATGAAGGTCTATGACTTCACTGGTGTGGGAATCGAGGCAGGCGTGCAGATAAAGGCGGATCATACTATCATCGATCCGTGGCCAATGAGATTTGGTGCATCAGAGCCAACTCTAGCTGCAAGAAAAGAGTTCGAGCGTCTGCTAGCTTCAGCACATACAGGACAGGAGCGATATGTCGAGTGGGAAGTGATTCGAGAGATCATGGTAGAGGATGTCCGGTAAGACGCGGGATGTCGATTTATATACTCATAAAGGCTTGGTGCCTCCTTTGGGTCATTATATATGCCTAGTGCTGGCCACTCTCTGAATAATTTCTTAGTATGATTGCTCATAACTCTTCCTTTACTGTCGGTCTTGTTTTTTTATGACCTCCTGTCCGTGCTCTTTCGATACTAGCGGCTAGTTCCTTTTGAAACGCTTCTTGTTTCTTTCGCCTTACTTCCATCTTCTTCATCTCAGCTTGGAGAGATCGGGACTCCTCGGCATACTCTTCGTCTGTCTTCTCCAGAACAGGACTATCAGGGTTGGTCCAGCTGTAGGGAACCCTTTCCGTAATTAAGTCCCTATATATTGGCTTGAATTTGGGATTCTTGGCCAACTTTGTGATCAGAACGTGGCGGCCTGCTTCGATGATGCCATCCGTGAAGATGCTGTCCCAAGCGCTCTTGAGCTCAACTTGCTCTTGTGGTATAGGTGCCCAGGCCAATGGAGTAGGGGGGTTCCGTTTCAAGTAGGACACCTTCCAATCTCGCCGCGAGCGGTACTCTGAGTATTTCTTCTCGGCTTCTGCTGCCTGTCCTGGTTCTAGGCTCAAATGAAATGCTTGGATTGCATCGCTACTATCACCCAATGCCTTGGCCCTGAGCAGAGGTGGGACGAGAGTCGTGTCAAATTCGGGGCTCCATCGCTCGGGGTGTTCGGGCGCCCTAAGCAGATCCCACCAATGATCATGCAAAGCTTTCGCGCGTGAATGCAGATCGTGTGGTTCGTCCGGGATCGCAGACCTTAAGGAGCCTCCACGGTTTGCAATAGCCATGATCACACTGTCTATTCGCGTCTCCTGCATGGCCAGCCAGGAGATATCTTGTCGTGTTTCCAGACTGCGAAGAAGATTTGAGTAGAGCGTATAGTCGTCATCCGGCAGAGAGGTGGGAAGCAATCCATCTCGAAGCGAATCTCCAATGAAGAGCACTTCACGAATCGCGTTGTGAAGCAAAGGGTCGTCCGGTAGATCCCGATAAGGATTGGTAGTTGAGAAATCGGGATATTCGCCTTCGAGGCTGATAATTCCAGCTGCGTCTAGAACATTGAGGCTGATGTCAAGCAAGAATAGAAAAGCGGCAGCACGCAAGATCCATTTCACGAAGCGATTCCCTAAAATTCGCCCGATGATGCCATGATTGCAACAGTTTCGCAGCGTAGTGAACATGCTAGAATGAATAAAGTAAAAGCCCTTAATTTGAAGTTCACGGTGTTTGATGTAAAGCCAGAGCGGTGACCTTTGAGTGAGTGAGGATGAAACAGCATTGATGGATTAAGATAGTGAAGATTAGCTTCCTAAATAATTTGGGAAAAGTAGAGCTTCGTGTGGCTGGGCTTTTGCGGCTGTAAGGCTGGTGCCCGATGTCACGCCCTTTTCACGTGTTAACAACTCGATTCCTGGCCTCGTTTTCAATCATCGCGATTCTTCTCTTCATCTCAATACAATACAATGGGGAAATCTATGAAGAGAACTACCGACCGCCGTTGTCCGTAGAGGCCTATTAGAAGAATCTTGGGATCATACTGCAATATCCATTATATAGCTATGAGACATATGCTGGATAGGTACCAGCGTGCGAGGAGCATATTATCCCTTTCAAAGCACATATGGTGGAGGTGAGGTTCTTGATTCGGGCATCTTCAACGTTACAATTGTCTGTGTGCCTAGAGAAGCCCGCCGGCAAAGTGCTGGGACCGATGCACTAGATCAAGCCTTTGTCCTCTTCTCTGCGTCATGACATATGACATAAGCTAAATACTATGCGACAAATCCGCGATTCTTCGGCTTTGTAGAAGTGCAGAAGACCAAGCATCAAGCACAGTACCAATCAGTGGCCAGCATGTTTCATGAGGCGCATCGCAACCCAAGCTGTGAAGACAGCCGTGCCGGTCCAATGATTCCAGGCAGTACCCCGCAGCTCTCCGCCGTACGTCCAGGCGATCCAGCCATCCACACACCCCGTGACGGCGGCGGCCATCGAGAAAGCTGTGACGCCGCGAGCATTGCGCGTATATTGCAGGAGGAAGTACGTGAGCCCGAATGTGATGTCGCGCGCTGCTTTGGCGTAGAGGAAAGGAGACGCGGCGCCGTAGGCGGCGGGGTGGGTCTTCTCCGGGAGCGATGGGCTCAGTGGGATGCCGAATTGCTTGTACGCTCCACTCGGGTCCGCGAATGCCATGAGGCCGACCCCGAGAAAGGCAGTACCGACGAGGTATGCAGGGATCGGAGATAAGGCGGCACTTGACATGTTGAATGGCCGGTCCCTATGCCGGTCTTGTACGCGGGTGTAGTGGCAGGAGGCGCTGCTTTCAAGGCAATGTTTGTATGTTGTTCCAGGCCAGGATTTTCCACTGTCATTTCGGCCATTGTCCGCCAGGGGTAGTTGATGACCCGGCCCTATTGTTGGCCCGCTTACTCAGCTTCTGTCTGCGTCTCACAAGACAATTAGAAGCTGTCGAATTTGAGTCTTAGACGTCGATGAGTAAACTTATTAGTGCCCTAAAGAGGAGCATTTTTTTAATGTGTAGCTTATATATCAAATGTACATGTCTCATCCTTAATAGGTGTAATTAGAAGACTGCAATTATGTGTAATAGACAAGTCCTTCGTCCAAAGAAAGCAAAATCCCAATTAGAATTGTTAAATTAGACAAAACAGTTTTCTAGAACAATGATAAACACGTTTTAGATCCCGAAGTGACGATTGGTGGCCGTTTTCCAATATGAAGAAGTAGCCAAGAAGTTCCAAGAACAGCCAAGACAGAGATCCTGGACAAGAGAGTCTTGGAACTTTCTGACATTAGAGCTACTGCGCCGCCTCTTTATGAGATTTTGAGCTTTTGCAAGTCTAACTAGACACTGTTCCCCCTCTTACCTTCTTCTAATGAAGCATGCCGCCGTCAATGCCATGCCACAAGGAGCACGTGGCTCTACCCTCCACAACGCTGCTGATGCACGAGTACGTCGCCGAGCCGCAATCCTGCCGACTAGACCTCGATTTATCTCAACGGTGGTTCGCCGAGATGAAGCTATTGATATGACCATTTCCACCTGTCCCTGGGAGCGCATCGGTCGAGCATGGGGCATGCAGTAACCGGGACCGTGTGTTACATCACAATCATGACAGCAGCCCATTTAAAGCCTTGAATCACTGCTCGCTTCTGAGATTGACATCCAGTTCAGTAGCCCACACTTGTTCTTCCCACGAAACTTCGTTCAATTGTCAAGATGCGCTCCACTATTGGAATACTCGCCATAGGCGGACTTCTGGCTCACTCTTCTTATGCGGCACCCTCAGTCAAGAACTTCATCTACATCGTTCCAGATGGATATGGTCCTGCATCGCAGACTATGGCACGGGACTATGCCTCTCTACTTGAGAATGGCCAGACGCCCGGTGCCCCAGTGAGCTACCAGCTTCCAGCTGACCAGATGGTAAGCCTCTTTCCTTCAATTCCCTCTGTTCTGGACAATCAATATCATTTCTGTTCCAACGTTACTGAGAAAGGTGGATGTAGGTAATTGGCAATGTACGCACCCTTGCTAGCAACAATCTTATCACCGATTCTGCTGCCTCTGCCACGGCCTTTGGCTGTGGTGTCAAGACATACAACAACGGTAAGACATAGCACATACTGCTTAACGAACAAACTCTAACTTTCTTTCAGCAATCGCCGTTGATGATGACGGCCAGCCGGTTGGATCAATCCTCGAGGCGGCTAAGCTTAACGGCTTGCGAACGGGACTAGTTGTGACAAGTACCATAAACCACGCAACTCCAGCATGTATGTAACTCGCGGCAATGGCGAAGCTGAGCAGCATTGATGCGGTGTCTAGGTTATGTTGCGCACGTCGCAGACCGTAACTCATATGCTAAGATTGCTGAGCATGAGATTGGCTATGGTCATCCGTTGGGACCAGCAGTTGATATCCTTATGGGAGGTGGCCGTTGCTATTTCAAGCCGCAATCCGACGAGACATCTTGTCGTTCTGACGACATTGATTTAATCTCTTTCGCCAAGGATCATGGCTACTATGTCATGCAAAATCGCTCTGCCTTTGATAATCTTGAAGGTGGCAAAGGAGATATTCCACTGCCTTTCCTTGGCCTATTCAATGATGGTAGGTCTCGCTTACCGAATCTTTATCGTTTGTAAATTGATCATGGTCGTAATACTGATTGGCGATGGCGAATAGATCAAATGAAGTATGAGATAGATCGTTCTAGGCAGCCCGAGGATGGCGAGGAGGAGCCTTCACTTCTTGAGATGGTCCAAACCTCGCTCAATGCCCTCCACCGCGCGACTAGCTGCAAGAAGAAGGGCTTCTTCCTTATGATCGAGGCATCTCGCATCGATCACGCTGGCCACGCGTCAGACCCAGCCGCTCACTTGTTTGACACGCTCATGTACAACGAGGTAATGGGTTTCGTTCGCGAGTGGATTGACGCCCATCCGGACACGATGATGATGAGTGCCGCGGACCACGAGTGTGGCGGCTTGACCCTCAGGGGCTACAACCCCCTACCACTCGGTGGTGCTACCGCCAGCACGGAAGTCTTGGCTCGCCGCTTCAGTGAGTTCTCTGGCACTGATGCTGAGAAGCGCGCTTTCTTGAAGTCGGAGATCCTACCCGCATACGGTCTGGAGGATGCCACAGATACCGAGATCAACACGCTGCTGGCTGCCAGCAGTCTATCGACTGAGATGGGTAACCTGCTAGCCAGCCGCGCCGGAGTGAATTGGAGCACTGGAGGTCACACCGCGACAGATATCACTCTCTATGGATACGGTGCAGGAGATAATGGACGAGCCATCAAGGCTGATATGGCTGGAAACTGGGACAACACCCAACTGCCGGGATATATCGAGGCCGCATTGGGGGTGAAGATCTCTGATGTGACCACAATTCTTCGTGCCAACGGTACTGGCTGGGTTGGTAAACGCGATTTCACGAAACGCGCTGACGATCACATCCACAGCCATGAGCACGCTCATTAAACCATAGTTGAATGGCCTTCAACGGGGGACAATAATGGTTTCGGTCTACTTGAACATAATCCAAATGAAAAGAATGCTCACGAGCCTCTGGGCACAATACTGTGAAGAACTAATTAGGTATGGAACTTTTGTGACAGCTAAGCTTTTTCAATCAGTGCTGGCGCGGGACCTAAGGCACTAAACGCCCAGTTCCATGTTCTAGCCCCATGCCATCGAATGAGCACTATGTCGCTAATGAGCACAGTGATGTGAAGCCAATCTCCTCTCTCAAGCGACTCTCATCCATGATGTACTTGGGGTTTTACTTGAGTCTACGATTATAGGCTTGATATCTAATCGCTAAATGGATTATCTCTGCCTGAGGTTACAGGACTTGTAAGTCCGACCTCAACGCTAACTCCGCAGCACACCGGTCCCGTGGAATGAGGCACGGTAACACTGGGCCCCGCTACAAATGTTAGCACAAGTCATGACACGCTTGTCACAGCAGTTCTTCTAATCGCCGACGTAGTTCTAGTTCTTGCTTTCCGTCAATAGATTCTCGTTTTTACGCTCTCAAATTAGGCCAATGCATCCAATAACTTAGAGCTGACCTTAACCAGGCTTCTAAACATCAAGAGCAACGATTTGAGTAAGACTATTATCAGGCCTGGATGCGTACAATTCCCAGGGCTCCCGGACGGAATCTAGTAAACATGGCATCACAATTCACGAAATATGCTGTCAAGTCAAAGGGAAGCCCTTTGGTGGCGACGTTGGCTACAAAACCCACCACCCTCGGCCCTTCGGAAGTGTTGGTTCGTGTGAAGGCTATCGCAGTCAACCCAGCTGATTGCAAGATGATCGATCAAGGTCATAGGATTACTTCATGGCCGCTTGTATCTGGGCTGGACGGTGCCGGGGTTGTCGAGGCCGTTAGTGACACCGTGAAGAACCTCACAATAGGTGATAGGGTCATCGCATTGTTTCAAGCTGGAGATCGTGGAGGTTCTTTTCAACAGTACGCTGTGGTTCAGGACTCAGTGATATCAAAACTACCTGCGGCATGGTCCTTCGAAGATGCAGCCTCATTAGGGTGAGTAAAGATTAACTATCCTCCTACCTGACTATGCTCAGTGCTGACTTATATCTTTTTTATTTTATTAGAGTGGGTTACTCGACAGCCTTAGTCGGCCTTGGAATTGGATTACAAGCTCCGCTACCTTTTTTGAAAGATGGCCCGACGACAGGCTTCACGCCATCATCCGTCCTAGTCTTAGGTGGCAGCTCAGCGGTCGGGGCTGCCACAATTCAACTCCTCCGTCTCGCATTTCCAACTTGCACCATCCTAGCTACTAGCTCACCAAAACATCATAAACACATCACTGATGATCTTGGCGCAGATATAGCACTTGATCGAAGTTCAGAGTCACTGATCGCAGAGATACAATCAGCGACAAAGAATTTGCGAGGAGTTGACGCCATAATTGATGCTGTCGGTGCTGGCAGCTCTCAACGACACATCTTCGAGGCTTTCGACCCAAGCGGGCCCAAAAGATATGCACAAGTCTGGACAGGTGACGAGGAGATCAAAGCCCCGGCCGGTGTCGACTCGGTTCTATTTAGGGGTAGAGATATGCCACGCCTACAAGGGAGCAAAAACATCATGTCCGCTTTACAAGTATTGCTCGAGGAGCAAGAGTACAAACTGCCATTGCCAGTCACCAGAGTAGGACATGGGTTCGAGGCATTAAAAAAGGCTCTGGATATGATGCGTACGGGTGTTAGTGGAGAGAAATTGGTCGTGAGCATATAGGCTAGAGCGAGCGTAAAAGGGTCTACCTGAAACGGCTCCGGCAGGAACTTGGTAGTGGATCGATGCTGGAAATGCTGCCTTCTTCCTCTTGGAATTTGTGATTGCCCAAGTTCTTCACCGCAGAGCTTGCTTCAGTGCATGAGATCTGAGATTCTGTAGAAATGATGCCGACACGGCTTCATCCGGAGTCAAAATCCAAGTTGTTTACTCGGTCGCTTTCGGAACGCCGAATAGCCTGAGCCTCCCGAATTCTAGTGGCGACCTAACTGAAGTGCAATACCTAGCGCCAATCCTTCCCGGGCCAATGCGAGTGTTAAGTCCGAAAAGGTGTACCGGCAGTGGGCGCCATGATTCCAAACAAAAGCGGGTGTTTGATAACGGCAGCACGCTAGAGTGAGGAGGCGGTGCCATTATTTGATGTAGTTCGACCTCGCGATCTTTACCTTCTGTCCGCTAGAGAACTTTGCTCTTTGGATCCTCGAAATCATCATAGTCGCAGCAATGGCCAACGAATTCACCATACGATCGGCTTACAAGCTGAAGTCTGGCTTTCAGATGCCAGTCCTTGGATATGGGGTTTGTGCCTCAAGTCATTGTGATTACCAATCGTCCATGGTTGCTAATACCGGTCGGTTTAGGTCTACAGAACGTTCGTCAGTCTAATGTGAAGTTGACTAGAGGACCCAATTAATGTAGATAGTCCTGCGGCCATTACCGAAGAGGTAACGCTGAAGGCTTTCCAAACAGGCTATCGTCATGTAAATACCTCCGAGGTTGATGGAACGCAGACCATGTCGCTCACAAAGCCAGGTTGACTCAGCTATTGCCTACAATAATGAGGTCCCATGCTCTCAGGCCATTCAGAAGTCAGGAATCCCTAGATCCGAGGTGTTCTTCACAACCAAGATCCCTCCCGGAATGATGGGATATGAAAAGACCAAGAGTGCCATTGAGACGAGTCTGAAAAATGCCGAACAGACTTACTATGACCTGTAAGGATTCCAACACTCAATAATCTAGAACTAATCTCAAGCCATATGATAGCATCTTGATCCATTGCCCGTATGGTGGTAAAGAGGCGCGACTTGGGACATGGCGAGCCCTTGTTGAGGCCCAGAAGGAGGGCATGGTACGATCTATTGGAGTGTCCAACTACGGAGTGCACCATCTGGAGGAGTTGGAGCAATACATCAAAGAGGGCGGTGGCGGCTCAATTGACGTAGGCCAATATGAGTTGCATCCATGGCTGCCTCGCCCTGATATTGTGGGCTGGCTCAAGGAGCGCAATGCAATCTTGCAAGCGTACTGCCCAGTGGTCCGCGCAGAGAAAATGAACGAGCCAGTCCTCCAGACTTTGGCTGCCAAGCACGGGAAGACACCCGCTCAGATTCTCATACGCTGGAGCTTGCAGAAAGTACGCATTGTCCGATTCTCCAATTGTTGGATAGAGACTGATAATCTATTTTAGGGCTTTGTACCCCTTCCTAAATCGGTAACACCTTCTCGAATTGAAGAGAATGCTGCAGTCTTTGACTTCCAACTCAGCGATGAGGACATGGCAACTCTGGAGTTTGATTCTTATGCCCCAATTGCTTGGGACCCTACGGTCGACCGGAGCTAAAGTCGTATTCTATATTATTACAGTTTGATACACACTGTGATGAAAAGGAAGGTGTATCCAATGTTTACTAGGCCGCTATAGAGCTTTGAACTCACCAACTTTCGGGGGAAAAGCAGCACACATTTGTCAGAAACCTCATGACAATCAATATATGGATACTTCACAATTCAGTTCACGATCTGTCTATTCTGATCATGTGTGAAATTGAGTACTAATTCTTTGTTGCAGAATTCGCGATTGTCTAATTGCTGCCCGATTCTGCAGTTGCCTAAAGTCTTGTGGTCTTTTGAGTCTTTGAAGGATCGGCGCTGGCTTCGCATAGCCACGCGAAGACTCAGTAGGACTCAGTAGCTTAATTACATCTCTCGCACCCTGGTTCAAACAGGCATTCATGCGCTTTATGCGGCTAGTTCATGCAGCTGCCAGCATCCTATCTCTACCCCCTGTAGATGAGGCAGCCTTTCAGTAGTTTATCTTCTGCAGTCGTTCTGGCATTACTTGTTATATTCATTCCTTCACCCCAAACTGATTAATTGCAGCCGGGTTTCTGCTCGCCACCCTCCATCGATGGCGAGTTCAGAAGATTTAGTCCTAGATCTAGATTCGGCGCTCTCTTCAGAGGCTCATATTCAGCATGGGCACCCTCCTCTAGTCGATCCTAAAGTCAAGTACTACATGAAATGGGATGAGTGGGCAGAATCAAGCAGAATTCATCACCAGAAACATCGCTTGAAACAGTGGGAGATTCTCATCCGGCCTAAGATTGAGTATTATTACCAACTAGATGAAGAGCATCTTGCGGGCGTGAGTGAGTAAATCCTGTGTCAATCACTCTCCACGAGGTAGTTTGCTCGGTAGTAAACGGTAGTAACATTATTTTGATAGAACTGCACAATATTAAACTTCTACCTCAACCAGAGAAGGCAGCATCATATGAAGAGAATCATACATATCTTCTCGATTCTTTCGAGAAGGCTCTTTCTATCGCATTACCAGCTATACGAGATGAGCATGACAAGGGAGCGGCCACCAAACAGGGAACATTGGACAAGTATCGCATCCCCTACTGTAACCTAAGGCTTCCCGATACTTCTTCAGCGATCCGGCTTTTGGAAATACTCCCAGGATCTTTTGATGACCCAGTGATTCAGACGCGTCTATTTGTCGCAAATTTGGAGTCTGTTGAGAAACAATACGAAGCTTTATCATACACTTGGGGTGATGCTGATTCGCCATCGGAATCGAAAACAGTCCGACTAAACGGTCTGAAGAAACTTGTCACTCGCAATTTATATAGTGCCCTTCTATCTTTGCGTCGCCCATCGACAAGTAGAACAGTATGGGTTGACTCCCTATGCATCAATCAAGGCGACTCAGTGGAACGAATGCATCAAGTCATACTTATGGCAAAAATCTACAAGCTTGCTCATCAAGTCATTGTCTATCTTGGTCCTGCTACGGATTTATCCAATGCATTCATAAACTTTCTCAAATCCGGCGACCGCGAGGAGCCAACAAGCACTGATTCTGATCCCGAAGAGTATACACCTAGGCTGCAGCTTCGAGACATGTGTCGAAGGTTATCAATCAAAGAGAACGATGTACTAGAAGGCTTCATTGATATCAGCAGCAGGAGTTGGTGGAGCCGAGTCTGGACTCTTCAAGAGTATGTTTTGAGCAAACAAGATCCTGTGCTTCATTGTGGAAGGGACGAGTTCTCCAACGAGATTTTTCATGACAACTTTGAACAACTCAGTGACTGGGCAGAGCATGTGAGGCGACACCCCGTGCCTCTGGAACTTTGTTCGCATCCTGCGTGCGCTAGGCCTTCAAAATCCAAAGACCAATTGGCCAAGAACATCAACACAAGTGAAGGAACGTCGCAAGGCAATGGCGACGGACCATGTGAAACGCGCGATCATTGGGCTGTTGAAAAAAGCCCTTTTCCACAGCAGAGCTCCCAGGGCCGGGAATGGGCTGCATGGGGCCGCAGGATACAGCTGGCTCACGAAGTTATGGACCGACGGTCTCGCTGCCGACCCTGGAATACTCCTGAGTTCTTATACCGACGCTTCAGATCGCAATGCTCTGATCCGCACGACATAGTGTACGGCGTGCGCGAGCTTATGGAACCCCTATTCAAGGATATGTTCAAGCCTGACTACACCCTATCCGTACCGGAATTATTCACAAGACTGGCGGTTTATCTCCTCGTTTTTGATAGCTGGACCGATCTATTCTTCCACTATCCTTATCGTCTAGACCCATCGTCATATGGCGAAGACGGAAAAGACATACCTTCATGGACGCCAGACTTTACTAAGCCCATACGCCCGCGCGAGGCGGAAAAAACGACAGTTAAAAGCAAACAAATCAGGAGGACTGTTGACAGCAATCCATTGATTATGGACAGAGTTCTCTTCATACGTGGCTGGTTGGTCGATGAGATTATCAGTGTCTATCCATTACCTGATGCTGATCCTTATGGCCTTCTCCAACAACTCTGGTATTTTGAGCGCAGGCATGGACGTCCGAAATACAAACTCTTCCACGACCATGAGACGCATGAAGGTATCGACACAGAAACCGTTACTGGTCTTCACAAAATGTCGGATGAGGTGGGAGGTGTCACGGCATACCCGAGCGTAGCGTGGGCCACACAATACAGCGAGACACTTCCGGCTGACATATCGATCGTTGATATCATCTATTTTGTCGGCGATTTTGCAACACTGTTTACAGACGTCTTCAAGGAATTTGGCGATAAAATTCCCGAGGTGGCGGAGGAACAACTTGAAGAGGAGAAAAAAGGCGGGATCCGCGACATCGATAGAGAATTCCCGAATCACATGAACATGTTGGCCGCCAAAGGTCTTGAAAAGCGACGGCGTTATCAGCTGAGGTCTGAGGCCATAGATGACTTGCACAAACTTTTCAAGTACCTCCTCAAACATAGTAAGGATTTTGTCGGTATATCCATATTTGATTACGACAATCTTTGCTCACAAGTTCGCTATCTGGTCATACCACTGGATCTGAAAGAAGCAGTACGACAGGGTTTCGTACAACCTAGAGAAACTGATGACGAAAGCGAAGATGGTAAAGACGGCCCACCCGACGGGTGTTTCAATCATGCAGTGACGCAGCAGCCATTCTTCTATCTCGACCTAATTGGCAAGATACTGGACGGTCGTGATGGTGATGCCATCAGGAGCTTCATGAGGAATGCAGTACTGACCTTATCCAAGCGAATTCACGAAAAGGCTCAAAGCCTCGTCGGGCTCAAAGGGGATAATTTGTATTCTACTGTACAGGCCACTTGGGATGATCTCGACGAGAACAAACCAGAGGATGACACAAGTTATGAGATATTGATGGTACCGATGCGAGCATTACCAACTGGAGATGACGATATGGACCATGTGTCCTCAGGCTCTCACGAGGCAAATGATGTAATCAATTACGAGGAAGAGTCAACGGAGTCGCAAGATACACACTCAGAAGTGGAATCAACAGAGACTGCCTCATCTGAGGCCCCTCAACAACCACTTACAACCAAAGAGCCCTACGGAGAATGGATGGCTTGGAGATGTACTGCTCGGCCTTCATATGATGTGCACCTCACCCTAACGGATGTTGTAGATTTTCTTAAGGGTCGAGAATTATTTGTCACAGAGAGTGGACTGGTGGGGCTGAGCTGTCCAGGTGCACAACCACTCAAAGACGGGGACGACGTTTTCATTCTCGAAGGCATGTCGTTTCCTTTGGTTGGTAGACTTGAGTTTCCCGTGTTTGGGGAGCTGGACAACGGCGACTTGGTGAAGCTCAGGCGGAGGAATATGTCATCGATCAGGATGCGACGAGAGATCCGAGGCGCTTGCATATTGAAGGGCATCGAGACAAAAGACGGGTCAATGGATGAAGTTGTATGGCCTGACGGCTTTGAATCTATCAGTACTTTGGGGGCGTTCAGATTCAAATAAGCTCGAATAGTCCTCAGACTAGAAATATAATATGCTGTCTAAGACCACGATATTTTTGATGTCTGATTCTGAGAGCAGTTTTATCGATGTTGCGGCACAATGTTGTACTGTACTTGACATGAAAATGTCAACCAGCGGAGATGAGTCCGAGGTCCTACAAACACAAGGTGACACTATTTACAACATGGAGACATTTGAGCCGCAGAGCTGGGTGAAGAGCCGAGGGTCTAGAGACAAGCCTGTTCGTTGGCCTCAAAACGGGTGGAACTCTAACGAGTGAATTGTGATGGGGTTGCGGTAGTACTAGAGGCTATCGACGGACAGAGCAGATTCGCAATCTGAGCCAAGTGCAACCCTGCGATACTGGTGTATTCTTCGGCTAAGTTGTCACACTTCGGTTGTCTCTTATGCAGCGAACCTTAGATGCCTCCCTCTGCCGGCTGCCAGAGAGTATCAGGAAAAGACGCAGGTACACACAACCGAAGACAACCAATATTAGGAGAACCGAGCATCTAAGCCGTCAAGAAGTTCTCTTCCATATTCCTCTTCAAGATGATTTGTCCCGTCTTCGGTATTTTACACCGCGCGTAGCCGCTGTTACATAATGCACCACGGTGTTTACGGCATGCTCCTCATCCTGCAAGTAAGATTTCGGGCCAGATATACATATACACAGATTACATCCGATGAAATATCAAGACAAGACGTTGTGTCCAGTCTACGTCTAACGACTAAGTTCGCGTTGTGCTACTTACCTGTTAGTCACTCAGTCAGGTGGCAGTATTTCAGAAAGACAGTTCCGTGAACAGGTCGCCAACCCCTTTACCGAGTGATTGGGTCGATAGGGAAGGCTCAACCGTGTAGACTTCCGCAGAGGATGCTCTTCCCTCTTTGCACAGAAATGAAATATGGATCTGACGTCAAGACATTGGCCGAGACGGGTTGGCCAGTAGGGGGTTTCCGTGACCCTGCCGATATCTGTGGGGAGGGATTCCCATTGGGCAGATCGAGTTTCTCTCATGTCATCGCGGGTTTTTTTATGTGCATTAGCGTGATCACGCTGCCGGCGCCTTCCCCACAGATCTCCACTGGCTACAACAGCCACTGCCGTCAACCTTGCGAGCTCGCCCCCAGCACTGGTGTGGCTGCATTGCTAGCGCCCTGTAGCAGGGTCTTCCAGGGCCTAACATACCTATATGTACCCAGTCGAGGCTGGGGGCGGCTGCTCTCGGGGTGCTGAGCGGGAACTCCTGACAGGTGCAGCGTTGACATATTGTTTAATAATTATTATCAATAGTATTTGAATCACAACTTGAGGAGATGCAGGGCGGCTCGGGCGACAACCATGGCAGGACTACCCAGTGAGCCAGTCTTCGTTGAAGTCGATGTGAGTTGGATTAACAAAAGCAGAAGATGGGAGAGGTGCGAAGACACTCCATAGAAGGGCCGTTCAGACAGCTCCATCAAAAGGCCCATAACGCTCAAATGCCATCTTGTAAGATGATAGCCTTATCTCTTACTCTCCATGTTTCTCCACCAAATCTGGCTCCATGTTGAACCACCAGTGAGCAGGGAGCAGCATCATCGTGATACCCGGCATACCAGACTAGATATCAGCGGTCCCTCGATACTAAACCGAGCAGCGTCTGTACATCGGCGGGGCTGCAATGGCCGACGCGTCAAATCACGAAGCAGCATGGACTTCGCTTCAGTGCTGCCCTCCACTCTGCAATAATCAATTCCAAGCAACGTCGTGTTCTTGATGGGGTTTTTCGTTTCTGGCTCCGGGACGGCCGTTCTTGGCTGCCGTTCACGGGTTAGAGGGTCACTGAGGGGCCTTAAGCGGCAACTCTAGCATCCCCCAACATTGAGCCCATTTCCGGCCGGTCAGCCTTGGCTTGCGTGTTTTGTGACCTGATGATTTCGGTCCTTGTATCTCCTTTTGCCTCCCTTCGATTGAATGAGGTTCTTTTGGGGGAAAATGACTCTCTGTTAGTCAATTCCATAACGCAAGCCAAGTGAAACTCTGGATATGCCAATGAAGCTTGATACGGCAGTTTCAGTCGACAATGGGTCTTACATACCACTAATACTGGGCTGGCGGCCCCATTCCTAATAGTGATGCTGTGTTAAGTAGATACGCGCACTCTGCCCTGAATTGTCCTTCACGGTTGTGATCTTGGAGACGTGGCTGCGGTGACGTGCCTCCGACACTAATAGCGTGCTTGGCTGCGCTACAGTTCCGTGATGCCCAACTGCTTGTCCATGTCGCATGTGAAGCTTGACCCTCTTGGCCTCGTCTTGTCACATCTGCCGCGCCTTGGGCTTTCTTGGAAGGCGCTGGAATCAGCACAGCAACCACAGGTCTTCACTTGGCCAAGACAACGGACATCACATACTTTGACAATCCTTTTTGTTCATTGTTGGTACGGGCTGCGGGACGGCTGTCTACTGCATCGGAGATTAGCTCGCGCGACTAGACATCAACGGGCGTTGGAGCTGAAATGGAGTGCCTACAGCCGACCAGGCAACGTCCTAGCCAAACCGGGACTGTACTTAAAGGGCCGCTCTAACTTGACTAAGAACCTGAATATGAACATCACTCACAGTTGGCAGTGCGCATCTATATCGAATAACGCAGTCTGGGGACACGGCGTCCAGCCACCTCCTCACTTGCTTGCCCAGGACTCGATCGTTCAAAATTCTAGGATGGGGCTACGTCAACAAGTCGCCTAGCCAGCATCTGACTTGCCTGAAGCTGTCGCGCTTCATCCTGATCATGTTCAAGCGGTGGTGGTGGTGGGGCAACAGCAGCAGCAAGCCACATGCCATTCCATCACCTCACTTTTCGTCGACCTCGTTACTCTAATGCAATGCCGGCTGTCTGCTCTGTGCCACCCCAAGGCACCAACAGACGAAGGATAAGTTCGGCATTAACAGCCTTGGTACGGATTTGTGCGATGCTTCGACTAGCATCTTACAAGACGGGGATGCTTGGCTTGGCCCGTGCTGTAATTCCTTGACTCACAGTGTTGACTGTGCATGGTGGGTGACTGGACTTTCTCCTCTTCTGCTTCCTGCTTTCTCTCTGCTTTGCACAGCCTGGCCACTCGAGAGGTAGCTTCTCTTGCGTTGTCTCTGCTTTAGCTGACGCCGACATGATCGAGTCTTGGATCATTTGTAGCACCCAGCAGACAGCCGACCTCAAGCTGAGCGGCAGGTGTGCGCCTTGGCGGACTGGTGTCGTTGCACATCGGCTGAGGCTGTCTGCAGCCTGGCGGCCAGCCTGGTAGCAGGAGTGCCAGTCGTAGCCTGACAGACCCGCCGTGGGTTGGTATGTCCGGGTACTTTGTTCTTCGAAATAGCCTGCCACAGCAAGACAGATGACCGCCGTGAGACCTCCCCGTTGCAGTCAAGATCAGCGGGTCCGTTTTTTGGGATCAATAACGAGTCCCGAGCGGCGTCGAATCAGCCATCGAGCGCATCTCATATCCTAGCGATGCCAATGCTCATCTGGAAAGCTCAAGCTACGACGAGTGCGTGCCCCAATCCACCAGAGAGCCACCCATCGTGTGCATCACGTTGCCGGTGCCAATTGCCTCACACTACTGCTCGGGATTGCCCATTGGACGGAGATGAGGCCCAGTCTGCCCATTCCCACGCCCATGCCCACTAGCTGTATGTGGGGTTCCGCCGCTCCGCTTGTCGTACAGTACCGCCCCTTGCCGCCTGTATGTATGTAGGTGAGCCTGGTGAGGTAGCGATGGAGTAATCGTGGGCCGGATTCTCAGTTAGGGTTGGTGTTGGTCTTGAAGACGGTGGCCTTGGTGGGTGGGTGTGGTGGTTGCAGCTAAGAGCCTTCTCCACAGCTTCGACAGACCTTCTAGTGCGCCTTCTTCACATTTGGATGGGCAGCAGTGAGAACGGAGGCGTGACGGTGTGTGGGACCGACTAACCTGACTGACGAATTGACGGACACGGCAAGGTCGTTTCCCAGGTGTGAGGAGAAGGAAGGAACGAATGAAGCAGCCAGTACATGAACCAGGAAGTACCTGCCTTACCTCGGGAGAAGGCAAGCAGAGGAAAGGAAGGCAGGTGCCTCTCACTCTTCTTCTCAGTCTCCCTCTAAGTCGCAGCTTCCCTTCCCATGCATAAATACCTTGCCGTCCCCCCTCGAGCAAGAACGTCGTCATTTCCCCCCCTGTCCTCACTCATCCACCATCTTCTCCTCCTTCAAGTTGATCGTCATCTCCCTGACTGTGTGGTGGCCGTCTTTTCTTCTTCCATATCTGCCATCCCACCTGTCGCGTTTCCTGAACGGAACGTGTAAAGAGGTTAGCTCCACCTCATCCTCATCGAGAGCTTGTAAAGCTCTCTCACCTTGTTCTACATCTCGTTTTCTTCAAGTATCGGTATGCTCAGCTTCATTGTGATCCATGTTTACCGTCCTCGCTGCGAATCAAGAACTAACCTTAGCTTACAGGTCGCTTGAGTACGACAGTTCACACAGCTCATCATGTCTTCCAATGAGGAGAAGGGCGTGGCGTCCCCACAGCCAGTTCACTCCCAAAACAATGGCCAGACACTGCCCGAGTATGGCAATGGCCACGAAAAGGTTGGCGCTATCCCTGACCGGCCGCGCGAGGAGGACTGGATGACGCGCAACGGCCTCAATCTGCGCTCCTTCCAGAAGCGCGACTACGGCAAGGGAATTGTTGAGCTCGACCGGTCCATGAAGTCCCGCCATTTGCACATGATCGCCATTGGCGGTTCAATCGGTGCTGGATTCTTCGTCGGCTCTGGCGCTGCTCTTAGCAAAGGCGGACCTGGCTCTCTGTTGATCGACTTCCTCATCATTGGCATCATGATGTTCAACGTCGTTTATGCCCTCGGCGAACTGGCCGTCATGTACCCCGTCTCTGGTGGTTTCTACACGTACTCGACCCGTTTCATTGATCCCTCCTGGGGTTTCGCCATGGGTTGGAACTATGTCATGCAGTGGGCCGTCGTGCTGCCGCTTGAACTGACTGTGTGTGGCTTGACAGTTCAGTACTGGAACCCAGACATCAGTGTCGGCGTATGGATAACTGTCTTCTTGGTCTTTATCGTCATTATCAACATCTTTGGCACTCTTGGGTACGCTGAAGAAGAGTTCTGGTCCTCCATTCTCAAGCTCTCTGCTACCGTCATATTCATGATTATCGCTTTGGTGCTTGTTTGCGGCGGCGGTCCCAGCTCCGGCCAATACGACCACTATTGGGGCGCACGCCTCTGGTACGACCCAGGCGCTTTCAAAAATGGTTTCAAGGGGTTCTGCTCTGTCTTCGTCACTGCTGCTTTCGCATTCAGCGGAACTGAGCTAGTTGGTCTGGCCGCTGCTGAGGCACACAATCCTGTGAAAAGCTTGCCCGGTGCTATAAAGCAGGTGTTCTGGCGAATCACCCTCTTCTACATTCTCGGGCTGTTCTTCGTCGGCCTGCTCATCAGCTGTGACGACGACAACTTGCTCGGCGCTAACCCCTACGCTGACGTAAATGCGTCGCCGTTTGTGCTCGTCGGCAAGTATGCTGGATTGAAAGGCTTCGATTCCTTCATGAATGTTATCATCCTTGTTTCCGTCGTCTCCATTGGCGTGTCCTCCGTGTACGGTGGCTCTCGTACGCTCACCGCTCTCGCCCAGCAGGGTTACGCACCCAAGATTTTCACCTATGTCGATCGCTCTGGCCGACCCCTATTCAGTGTCGCCATCATCTTGCTCTTCGGATGTTTGGCCTATGTGAACCTGGATGCCGAGGGCCCGACTGTCTTCGATTGGCTCCAAGCGTTGTCTGGTCTGGCAGCGCTGTTCACCTGGGGCTCTATTTGTCTCGCCCATATCCGATTCCGCAAGGCTTGGGCATACCATGGCCACACCGTGGACGAGATCCCATTCAAAGCAATCGGCGGTGTTTGGGGCTCATGGCTTGGACTTGCCCTTAATATCATAGTTCTAGCTGCTCAGGTTAGTTTGATGTCGTTTTCCAGACGGCATGTGACTGAAACCATGCTAATCTTTCTCCTTAGTTTTATACAGCTATCGCCCCACCAAACCAAGGAAGCGAGCTCAATGATGCTCAGGGCTTCTTCAAGTCATACCTAGCTCTTCCGGTCGTCATCGTCTTTTGGATTGGTGGCTGGCTGTGGAAACGCGCTGGGTGGCTAAGGACCCATCAAATCGACGTCGATTCAGGCCGCCGTGAGCTTGATTGGGATGCAATCAATGCCTACCGCGCCGAACTGGCTGCGATGTCAGCTGGAAAACGTTTGTTCCATACCGTCTTCATTTAAAAAGTTTGCATTGCAGGGTACAATATCACATGTAGATATACCGGTAGAGAATGATGGAATGGATACGCATGAAATGGGAGTCTTGATTTGCATTAACACGATTCCCCCACATCGATCCGTCATTTGAAATGGGTAAATACATTTGATACCATGATGGACGCGAATTTGATCCTTTCTAAACTCATATCACAAGGCTTTTGTTTGTGTTGTGTTCTCTTCTGACCCAGTGCTACTGACATTAAGTCACTATGCTGTATCGACGAGCCTTCGCGACGAGGATCGGCAACGTTTAATATCGTGTCTGTTGTGACCCCGAGCGTCATCATGCCCATTTTCCAAGGAAGCTCATCAAGGCCATGCCCGCGATAAGAGCGCTCATCCCGAACATTGTTCGGAGTGGACTCGCATTGGTCATCTCCCCTCCCAGCATCCAATCATGAGCCCACATCTCTACGACACCAACCCAAACAAGAACTCCAGCGGACAGAGCATCGAGCGTTCCGATTGCCACAATGGTTGAAGGATCATTGCCGTTGAACTGCTGCAGAACACCAATCCCAATAGCCATTCCCAGAGGCGTCACAAGTGCGAACGCAGTGGCCAGGAGAAGTTTCGTCCGCAGAGAAACAGCCGAGACAGGTGGCTTTGTTTCTCTACCTTCAGAGTCTAGGGTCGTGACCTGGGTATTGTCTGAGGCTCCTGATATAGGATCGTGCCCATGGCCATGCACCAGCAAAGGCACAGTCCCGCCGCGGCCGAGCGCAGCAATGCGTGTACCTAGGGCAACGCCTTCGAACATCTGGTGAAATACGATGACTGCAAACAATGTGAGGAAAAATCCATCTCCGGACACAACCAATGTTAAGCCAATGACTTTCAAGAAGTTAGCAAGTCTCAGTCGTCTGAATGGAGGGCGATTAGCCTACTCAATGAATGAAAGATAATGCCGGCTTCAAGAACCGAAATATTCACCATCTCGGTCGATCCGAGCGACCGCGGCGCTGCGGACGCCTCGATGTTTGCGGCTTTCTTGCTAGCATGCCATCGCATAAACCTATGGCCTGCAAACTCGACCAAGAACGAGAGGAACAACCCTGCCATTAATATAGCAGTCGATGTACCCTCGAATGCAAGCTCGCCCAAGCATTCGTTCTCGAACATAAGTGTTGCATGGGTCAAGAGCTAAGATAAATGAGCTTTTTGTTGATTGAATTGACGATAAGGTTTCTACTCACATGCACAAATGCTGTCGAAATAATGACTCCGGTTCCAAATTGCTTGAGTATCGAAAAGAAGATATTTCTTGGCGGGACGAATGACGCAAGAAGGATTGGGCCAAACACTCCTGGAACAACAAGTTAAACATGGGCTCTATTGTGAGAGATACAGGGAGGAATCTTACCTATGGCGCTTGTTACGAGTATAGCAAAGAGAAGCCCGACCCGAAGGCGGATATTGTAGTCTCGGTCAACCCGCTCGCAGCTCCTCTCGGTTTCTTCCTCCGTTGAACTGCCGCCGACGCAATGCCTGTTGGGGATTAGCAAGATTTCATAATGAAATAAGTTATCTAGGTTGACTTACTCAACGCCGGCATGAAAATGGCAGTTCTCCTCAACAGGTTCTTCAGCTTCTCCGTCGTCCTCCGACGAGTCTTCTGTGGCAAGTGTGATTTCCACGTCATCGCCACTCGGCGAGAGGCAGTATCTATGGATCACGCAAGATGTCAACTGTTATGTTGTTGCAATGGGCTTCTTTTCAATATCTTACGTATCAGAACCATGCTCATGGCAGCCAGTGAATGACGGGGGAAGGTCGGTCGTCGCGGTCACGGTTGTGTGGATGTAGTACTCTGTTGCGCCAGCCATACAGAACCTGCGGTAATGTATTAGCAATTGTTCCGGAGTATTCCAGATGCGGAGATTCTTACATAGATGAGCCGTGCATGTGGCACTCGGAAACTGCCGTGAGGCTTGTCGTGGAGGTCGGAGCCGTCGTACTCGTGATATGACTTGTACTCTCGACTGCAGGCAGAATCTCAACTTCGCCTGTCGACGCCATACACCACCTAGAAACCACGTCAATTGTTTGTAAGAGGCCGATGATAAAGGTCCTTACGTCTCACTACCGTGATTATGGCAGTCCGTATATGACGATGGCAAGGCAGTAGCGCCTGTTGGGGTACCCGAAACGCGAAATTCGGTGGCTCCTACCATGCAATACCTTTCATTGAAAATCAGTGGGACTCTGGAGCCTGTATATTAATACCATTTGACTTACTGAACAGTACCATGAAGGTGACAATCAGAAACCGCCGTGATCTCGGCGTTCGCCGCAGTCGTTGTGCTAATGGGAGTTTGTGATATCTGTCGACGGACTACTGTTCGCTCTGCAGAACAGAACAGGCCATGATGAATCACCACAAATAGAGTCAAGAGCATTATCGCCGTCAAGTTTGGTAGTGGTCGAGCCATAATTATACAGCTAGTTACCCTGATACCCCGAGTCGAAAGAGATTTGGGTGAGACGCTGTCCGCCTAAGTCGAGAGCACAACACTATGTATAAGGCCTCTGAATGCAGTCAGATTGATGTCTGGTATGAGCTGACGGAAAACCGTTGAACCACAGATTATACTTGAAGTGGCCGAAAGGGTGCTTTGCTAGCACGTTGAGAAATGCGTCCACACCACTACTAAATCGGCAATCGGCAACTTTTGTCCATAAAATGAAAAGAACTTCGTGAACGTACGTCTACTTGCGCCCAACTTTCGTAGTGATTGTCGGCCTTTGAGGCAGACGGGAAAGGTTGTGGGAACTGATCCTACAGAGGGTGCTACGATGAATCAAGATCCTCGATGGCACGTTGTGCTCCGAGGAAAATCTCTCAAGCTCCATTGCCATTCGGAATTCTCAATATGCCAAGACACCGAGTGTCATGCCAAGTTCAGTAGCAAGGTGCTTCTGCATGTTCAATGAACACTACATAACAGAAAACAGGAAGAGCCAAGCATTAATTCTCCAGAAGTTGAGTGAGGAGATCTGTTCCACAACCAATTGACAAAGCTGGATATGTGAAGTAGAACCTTGATGGCTATAGCCAAGACGAGTTCTCAACTCGTCTCCGCAGCCAAGACTCGATGTTGTGCAAATTTTGGCTCTATAACCAACTGACTCGGTTGTGCCCAGACGCTATGCTCCACTGAGTCTCTATAATCTATAAGCGCTCTGCCTTTGCGTGGCTTGATGATCGATCACAAGTCAAAAATACAGTCAGTGATTCTGACGAGGAAGAGGAGGCTCAGATTATCATCCTTTTTCGAAATGGTTTCTTGGCGAACCATCCAGGTGTCTACAGTACAGGTTGGCAGACTAGTAGAACCAATTCTACAAGGTCTCTTAAGTTGACACACGGCCAACTATTGGGGTGGCATCCGACCCTCATATAAATGTGCAGAGGCTGTTGCGATCTTCGCTTTCTCCAATACTCCTTTCATTTTTTCAAGTGATTTCAACTTTGTTGAGTGCATACCTTGCGTCAAGTCACCATTGACTTACCAAAGTTTGCATTTTCATCAATATTCATTCGTTCCATCTACATCAAAATGAGATACATTAGCTACGCATTCGCTTTACTAAGCGCCACACGTCTTGCAACTGCACAGACACTGGCTCCCTCTCCTACTGAATCTGTTGGTTGCGAACCACATGGTGACCATTGGTGAGCATATGCCAGAGTAGTAAGCTCCGATGGTATCATTGGCTCAGTTTTCTAACAAGATATAACTTATAAGGCATTGTGATGGTCCAAGAGAAACCTCTACGACGATCTGGACCGAGGCTATTTCCACCACGTCTTCTGCTCCCATAGCAGTCACGACAGCCGATGACCATGACCACGATCACGATGAAGACCATACCGATGAGCCAGGCACGGCTACCTTGGCACCGAGCCCAACTGAATCTGTAGGATGTGAGCCACATGGGGATCACTGGCACTGTGATGGACCTGCGTCGGCTATCTCAACATCTATTGCCGTCACTTTGACGACCACCACTACCCCGGCTGTTGGGACTATTTCGGCTGCTAGCTCGAGCTCAAGTGTATTCACAGCCGCCGCCGCCGTTTTCACTCGTGGTGTTGAAGCATATGGTCTTGCAGGTCTCGCTGCCCTTGCTGCGGTGGCCATTTAATCACATGCGACACCGAGAATTCCATCAATGTATAAGGCACACTTTGTTCATACCAACATAGTGCGATGCTGAACACGCAATACACATCATGGACTTTGGCAAACAACTATCCTACATTTCTCTTTGTTTAATTATGTAGAGGCTTTGCAGTCACGTTAGTGAACACTTTAAAACAATAACCATTCCAAAGCGAAACACTTTGAATCGCTTCACATGTACTTTAAAGGATAATACAAACTTTTATAGACAGAGAGCGTATCTCCAGATCAACCATCTAGAAACCTTAGTGATTATAAATGCTGGCAACTCCGTTATCAATGATTGCTAGTACCATAATAATTAAGCGATATGATAGCCAAGTTTTGACTTTCGGCCGCACTATATACTGGTCAAGGAGGCCTACAGCTAGCTGTCTAGCACAATCGTTGCCATCTGGTGCACTCTAGAAGCAAAAGGAGCGTCCTGTACAGGCACGTTCGTCAGATATACTCAGATGCGTGGGCCATTATCAGCATATTGATGCTCCTCAAAGTCCAACTTTCTGTGCTATCCAGAACTGCGCATTATAAGCATTCTTTGTCAATGCTCTCTCGTTAAATCCATAGATAGCCTCTTTCCCTCGAATTTGTTTTCCTGGAAATGTTAAATCGCCGCATATAGGCGGACTTTCCAAAAATTTGAAGCTTAAGGTTTCCGAAATAACAATGATCTCCTCAAGAGACAATTGTACAAAGGGCGCACTTCCATACAGAAGTGGGCCGAAATTTATCCAATGCCCTCCAGGTTTGAGTAACATATAAATGGCGTTTAAA